TTGACTCAGAGCCCATTCGTGTTCGAGGGATAATTGTCCAATATTCTCTCCACTGAAGACAAATGCATAGCCCCTTCTCAATACTGGCTAAAAAGAACTTGGAAGTGCAAGATTTACATGCTTTGGTGCAGTTTGTCTGTCATACACACATAATTAGAGAGCTAGAGAACCGCGTTTTGAGTGATTCACGCCAACCGGAAGTTGACGTTTTTCATTCTTGTACAGTGCTTTGGCCAAATTTCTCGGGCAAATCGCCTCTTTAAAGGTAAAGACACCTGGCAGAACAAATATGGTAGAGTCAAGGCATATTAAACGGTAGAAGGCCTTACTTCCGGTTGACGTGTGTCCCTTAAAAACGCCCTCGCTTATTAAAGGTCCCTTTTTTGTGTGTGTGTTTTGTAAATGTAATTATTTAATGTGATTATCAATAAACATATTAAAAAAAAAAGAGGTCCCTTATAGATTCAAACTCTGCTTTACGGACACCCTCATTATTACAGACAGTTTGCTTTGTCCCTGGGGAAATAAAACCCTTACAGTTTCTCTAAATTAAACCCGCTTAATACGAATACCCCGTCAATACGGACACTTTCTGTGGCCTCCTCAGCGTCCGTATAACGGTTTTGACTGTATCTCAGTCTTAACTTCGGGGGAAAAAAGCAATAGGTTTAAACTGGCAAAACAACAACTCTGCACGTGCATCACGCTTTTCTGTAGATTTCTTTGCCGTCACTGCACGACTACAACGCGAAACTGCCTAATTTCACGTTTTGTGGAGGAGGTGCACACAAGACGACGAATTTCTTTTTCTTCTCCTGAACTTTGACACAGTCGTTTAGAGTTCAACTCCAGAAAAAACTGCCATCACTTGACGAATTAAACGAGATGGAATAAACGAGATAAAGTTTGAGGCAGCGCGACTTCACTTTTTAAGCGACGTTTTCGGAGACGTCGTTGTCGTTGTTGCTTAAGCTCCTTATTCACTCCCAAAATTTGTTTGTTCATCAGGCCTAGGTATCAGATGGGTGGTGTCTTTTACAGCCCTAGTCCCCTATCTACCCCTTCAAGTTGAATCTTCCTTGTAAACGTTTTTGGAGCACTTCTCTTACCTTATATTCTTTATTTCGGTCTTCAGGTTTGTGAATGAAAAGTTCGAGAGAATGCTCTGTGATGGCGACTTCATGGCCGCAGCGTCTTCTCCAACAAACTGCGGGGCTGGTACAGGATCTATAATTGGCACTGTGGGCATGTCTGAGAATATTAAGAAAAACAGAATGATCATTTTGGATTGAATTGGAGAGAAGCAAATATTTCATACTGAAGCTTAGTCACAAAAAAGACTTTTTCTTATATATGTAAACCAGTGGCCTGGGTTGTAGATGAACTCATTGTAACTCATTCGTGTATAAATAAAGATTGATCAGGGTCCGCCTTCCTGGTCGCCAATGCGACCAAAAATTCAGTTCTGGCGACCAGAATTTCATAGCTGGTCGCCAGCTGGCGAATTGTAAAGCTGTTTTTTTTTGGTTATTGTAGACTTTCATGCTCGGAGAAAATGATTCAGAATTGAAACCTCGAAGCTCTTTGCCAACAGGTGTCTTACTTTTTGTCCTGCTGATATTTTTTAAATTTAAAAGTGAAACGAATCTTCCTGTAAATATACCTCCACAACAGCTACGATCAATACGAGTTGAACGTTTCCAAGCCACCAAGGGGAATTTTTGGCGAAAATAATTTGCCCTCTGGCGACCAAAAATTTATACTTCCTCACCAGTTGGCGCCCATATTAAAAAGTTAATTTCGGACCCTGTTGATGATGATGATGATGATGATGATGATGATGAGACTGTTGGAAGTGGAGGGTAATGGCAGTGGGCAGCGGGTGGGGGGAGAGGGTGTGAGGTGGGGGTTTTATTTATCTTCAACATTTCTTCACAAATGAACATGCGTAGCGGCGTTCGCACAAGTAGGTACACTGTATGCCCCTGTGGTGGGGTTATGCGTGTAACAGGCCAGGAAATATCCCCAGTCTTCACCTTTAGTGACAGCCCTGACCTATAAGTATTGCTTCTCCCTTTTGGACGAGATGCTAGACACAAAATATATCAACAATCATCCCCAAAATTGAACTTCCGCAAAATATAACACCAAAGAACCATATGGTTTTAACTCATTAATGGAAAAGGTTTGAAATGAATGTTACATACCTGCGTTCTTTTCCTCAGTTGTTTCCTCCTCTTCAGCTAATAGACCACATGTTGATTGCTTAAAATAAATCAATCATTAGATTAATTTTTTAAAAACAGCTAAAAATACATACCCTGCTAGCAGACTCGCTTCGATCTTTTCTAGATAAGTCGGGAAAGAGGAAGGCGACAGGGTAAAAAATACACGACTGTCAAAAAAAAAATCTAAACAACTGTAGGTTACAATTCTGAGCTGTTCTTCTGTACATGACAATAAGTTGACAAAAAATAATGATCACACTGAAAAATAACTCCTTGCCTGCAAATACAGCCTTCTCTTCTCGCTTCTACCTGCTAGGAACGTTTTGCTAACGTAAAATCTCTCACGCCGCGAGGAGCGAGGAGGTACGGCTGTATTCGCAAGCTACCTAACTCCGGCTGGCATTTTGATGCCCACACAGATTTTCATCTTCAAACCCTTGCTCAAAGAGCAAAATTATTACAAGTTTATCTTTCGAAAACTTCAAACTTATAAATGACTTACTGAATGGGTAGATTATTTACGCCAATGTTCAGTAAGGACTGGTTCTTGTTTTAAGTAGTTCAATACTGATTGTTTAACTTTGACATTTACAACTGTATTTATTCTTGACAATGATATTACCCCTAAAGCGGCTATGTCTCCCTTATTTTGAACAACATTGTTTGCTCTCTTTCTGCTGAATTCTCTTCGTCTTGCCTGAAAGCAAATATTAAAAAAAATCTGAAAGTAATTTATAACAGCCTCCCATGCAAACGCTCTTTTGGCTCGTCATGCAATCCTCCACAACGCGTGAAGAACCCCGAGGAAAGTCGGCATGGTAAGCTAGATTTATAAAAGCTACTTGAATGTAGTAGTCCCCAAGACAAAGTAAGGAAAAAGGGAAAAAATAGATAAGCTCTGGTTCAGTAGAACGGACCCCCAATATAACAAAGTTTCTTAGGACTTAAAAACTCGTTTACTTTTAACCCATTCGCCCCGGAACCGTTTGTAACCGCCCGTGCGGATCCATGTCCCTTCTACCACTTGTGACGTCATCAGTTTTAACGATCAAGGACAACTCTGTCAGCTACAATACTCGTCAAAAATCTTGAAATACTTGTGTCTCTTTCCTCTTCCCCAATGTTGATTTGGGTATCACAGTGGTCTCAGTGCTTCAAAATACGCGTGGCTCAACATTGGGGTGGAGAAGGCACATGTCAGTGAGAAAAACAGTGTGAAGTATAAATCTCAGGAGTTTTCCAGAAAATTCGAGAGAAATGGTGTCTGTTTCAACGATTTGTGACGAGTATTGTAGCTTGTGCCGAGCGACGAGATCTTTCAAATCGTACCAGAAACCATGTAACATTGCACCAAAAATTCCCATGAAAATCTTATTCCACTACCATCCTACCATTCCTTTTATTTAATTTAAAGGTCCTAAATCTTTCACATAAGTTTTTCACACGGAAATGAAGGCTGCTAAATGCCCAAGAAGAGAAAAAAAAGTGTTAAAACCATTACCTGAAGTTCCTGAAGCCAAAACATCATTGTCTGTTTATCTTTGGCTTGCAGTTGATATGTCCTCCCAGACGTACTGAGAAGGCAAACAAACAAACAATTTACACTGAGTAGAAGGAACAACCAAGTTATCAATTTGCCTTCAGTCCACAGAAAAAGGACAAATAGTGTATAGTAGGTAGATAACCAAAGACATCGCAATGTCAAATAAGAACATGAAAGGACCATCCCCAGAAAGGATAGAACCTGATTTTTAGTGCTCAATTTGCCATTCCGCCATCCAAGTCAGCTGACTCAAAATTCATGGATGCTATCATCACTGTTGTTCAATGTCTTTACCAAATTTTACCACGTTTTAAAAAACTCATGAGTTTTTGGTTCATACATAAATGCCCTGGTACACAAATCTGAATACCCCAGGATGCAAAAAAAAGTCAGTGTTACATGTACAACCGCTCTTCCTTCGGGCATGCTGTAGCTAGCACTTACTTATAGCTAGAAAGACTTTTTAACCAGCCCGTAAAAAGCAAAAAAAAATACTTCCAGGAACGATTACAGTTCTTTATTTGAATTTCCCGTAAAAGACTTCACTTGCTCATTTAGCAATTTAGGAAAAGAATTCACTAGTCCAATAGTTCACTAGCCTCGGGCTATCAGACGCTGATACCACTTTTAGTTAAAGAATGTAATTTTAAATAATCAAAGCCAAGGAAAACCTACATACCAAATCTGGAACTGTGTTAATCTACTGGCATCTTCAACTTCAAACGAGAATGATGCTTTAGCCAAATCAATGAGTCTGGAGATAAATAAACAGTGCGTATTATTTTAATGAGGCTAAATTTATTTTAGGAAAGCTTAAACTTGAGCCAATGCAACCAGCAGCTTTACTATCTCAAGCACATGTTCTGCAGTGGCGCCCCTTAATATTGCAGGACTTTTTACCATCCGGCCATATTGCCTCAGTTTTGCTTCTGTTGCAGATCATTACGGATCCCTTCTACCTCATCTTCTGACAATTTTTGTGGATTCCTTTGGCCACACCCTCCCATTTCCCCAAGGCTGGTCTGTCTGTGTAGATAATTAAGTCTTTTCCACTGGATCAGGTTCCAGTGTGATGACCAGTGTCTGTTAGACTTAGTGGCTGCTGTAGAAGTGGTTCCTGCTTGTGGGGTTGCTATGGATACCTCCCTGCTATGCATGAGTTATTTTAGACCCTACTCAACTAACTTTTAAGGCATTGCAGATCCCAAGCTCATCTACTGGCAATGAGTTCAATAACAACATGCATGTCAATCAATTTATAATAAGTCAATAATAATACATAATAATGGTCCCAAGGGAAACTAGATCTCTGAGGGATCAGTCATGAATTTGCGTTAACTTTTTAAAACTACCACAACTGCTCCAAGGCTGTGGTCTGGCTGCGTGCCCGTTGGCCCCTGGTGCCTAGCTTTAGCTCCTGGGTGACAGGAATATCTTATTTTTTCATACGTATGCTGGATACTCTGGGTTCAGTATCAAGTTTAGAGTATTAAAATGGGCGCTGTTCAATTTTTCTTAGAAAACAACCGTGTGCTCCACATCTCACCCCAGTGGTGTAAAATCCTGAGGAGTTCTGTAATAATACAGTCTGCACTTTCTCTCATCATACACAAACCTGAAAGATAGGACAAAGGATATAGTTAACTCTTTATAAGACGGACGCCTTGGGGACTGGCACTAAGTGTCCATCCTATAGAGGTGTCCATCTTATAGAGAGTCAAATAAAGGGAATAAAGAAAGGCAGGGACCAACTCCAGGTGTCCATTTTACAAAGGTGTCTGTCTTACAGAGACTCAAATAAAGCAGTAAAGAAAGGCAGGCATCAACTGTGGTGCTCATGGCAAGTTTACAGAGGTGTCCATCTTATAGGGATGTCCATTAAGAGTGAGTCGACTGTACATACATGTATCAAATGAGAAAATTGTAAAACATGTATTTTTTCTTGCCTGTGATCATATCTACAGAAGCAAAAATAGTATAATCCTATTTATCAGTGGCATTTCTTCTTAGAACTATCAACAATCAAAGGTTCAGAGTGCAGGCAAAATCAGTCAAAGGTCATACAAGTGTTCTGGCTTCAATTATTATGCTGTGCTTTGCAAACGTTTCTACATAAAAATAATAATAGAGGGTCAAAACGCGCATGAAGGTCCAAATGCATGTGATAAGAAAATTGCATTCTGAGCATTAATTCCATTAATTCATCCTTGGTGGCAGTCCAATTGAAAGCTGGCTACGTACATGCCATGCATGCACAAAAGCAACCTTAATGTATTCAAAGAAATGTTTTTAATGACAAATCAAGTTCATATTTATAATACCAGAAATTTAAATACTTTCTACTTATTTCCTGCACAAACAAATATGACTTTTTGGCATAAGATTTCAGGGTCCCAAATTTTTCAATTCTCTAAATCACAATATAAACAGTGCTGCTACAATCTCTCTTCTTAAATCCAGATTTAAAACATTTCTCCTTAGCTGATTCACCACTTGTAAATAATGCTTGTTTTTTGCTGCTTTTTTCAGTTTAGTGTGTTTTGTCAATTTGCGTGCTTTTTATCCTACTTGGGTTAGAGAGGGAGTTCATGTAATAAGCCCCCACGGTTTCATTTAAACTTCGATTCCTTGCCAGAAAAATATCTCCAATTCTCCCCCTTATGCAATTTCTGTCATTATTAATTTTAAAAGCAATTTTACTGTCACGCCAGTAAAATGTAGTTAATGGAACGTGACGCTAGTTATCAATAACCCATTCATGGCGGCTCTTTTTCAACAAAGCAATTGTGTAGTCAAGCTGCCAAGGTCAGTGAACTCTAAGATGCATTGTATTCTAGCGTAGAACTTCCGGCCTTGTTGTCTTAAGCAGGCTAGTACGAGCCACAGCATTGGCCATTATTTTCAAAGCACTATTCATGGCTAAGAGTCTGCACATGCAACTCTGAGCTGTCTTATAATACAGCCTTTGCTACTGGCTATGCCAGCAGACATGCGTCTAGCTATAAAAGCCTAGTACAACTGTTCAGAGTTCACTTGGGTTCCAGTGTTCAGCAAGGTTTAAGCGCTCAGTATACTAGGGGGATGCATTGCCTGGCATGCATCAGTGGCGGTTAAGTCTGCGCAGCGACTTCCCCCAAGCTTGTTGGGCCGCATTGCCGTTTAACATCGCCTGCAAACCAATACTCTTGTCCGATCCAGCACGTGCTGTATTGCATTCAGCTCGTAGTGCTGGGGAGATAAGTGAGGTTCTTTGCTCACCAATACTCTTGTCCGATCCAGCACATGCTGTATTACATTCAGCTCGTAGTGCTGGGGAGATAAGTGAGGTTCTTTGCCCATGCCATCGCCGGAAGTCGCACAGGCTAACCTAGCGCAAGGCAGTGCTGCCCCATTATCGCCAACTTGTCATTATTTGTTTTATAATTAAGTCACTTCGCGTTTAGCATGCATCATAACGGAGCAGAGACATTAACTATCATTTTTGTAACAAATTGAATAACTGTGCATAATTTTTTTTTTCTGGCTAATAAATAAACTGAAACTGAAACTTTGACTGGTTGTCCACAATAAGGCATTTTTTAAAAAAGCAACCAATTGCATTGTCCCCAGGCCCAATCCAAGAAACTGATGAGAGGGGAAGGTCAGCAGTTAATTGTGGCCAAGCAGATGCATGGTACTCTTCTTAAAGGGAGGATGCTTTTGCAATGTACAGCATGGGTTCTTTATTTCAGGAAAATAATACAGAGACAATTATTATAAAATCAAACATGGTTCTTGGACAGCAGCGGTAGTATTGAAGAATCAAAACAAAATTATATCGATAGACAACTAGAATATTAATATCATTACAGTTCACATATTATATTAATACACAAAAAATGATATACTTGCCATCTTGTTTTCCAAGTCTTAATTCCCTTGGCTTGGTAAAAACAAAAATAATAATAATAATAACTGAGTAACCATGAGTAATTTACTTAATACTGAGTTACTGTCAGAGATTAGTGAGGTACGTTTGATGCCTAAGGGGGAGAGGGTTGCTGTGTCCGTGGCGCTCCAATGGTCACCTGATGTCTACAGGATAGGTGCAAGGTGCAAGGTGCAATAACTTAAAATTGAAAAATATTATCAATTCACTTTGTTTTAAATCTCTGATCAACAAAAGTAGACTTTTGGGACCTATAGGAGGTGGGGGGGCGGTGGTGTGAGCACACCTGTTGCACCCCTCTCCCTATGGACCTGTTACAGCTAAAAATATACAATATTGAGCCCAATTTTTCTTACCTCCAAGTTTGTTTAAAAACCCACAGAGTTTTGGACTTGCACTGGAAACTTTCTGTAATCAAAGTAGAAAAAACATTACATGAAACTGGTAGTGTTCTAATTTTGATTAAAGATTACTGGATACCCTAAGGGGTGCATCACATGCAAGTGATATATAGCATGTTCTGGTTAAACTGTGCCTAAACCCCACATCAAATTATACTCCTATTAACCAAAGGTTAAGGAGTGCAGGCGACAATGATCGAAGGTCAAAACACTTTTGCTCTAGCGCTGTGCTTTGCGTAATATTCATGTGACAGATGGTCAAAACATGCGTGATCAGATTACGAGTGACAGACGGTCCAAATGCGCGTGATCAAAGTATGTTCAGTGCATTCCATACATTTTCAGTGGAAGACCAAACGATTGCTGGCTACATACATGCGACACAGGCGTAACAACAACCTGGAGATTAGGATTCCAGGCTTCTCTTGTCGCCCGCAAAAACTGGCTAACTTAAGAGGCTTTTTATATGATTGTCCAGAGGGCTTATGCGTGTATCTGCAGTTTAACTGCAACACGTTGCATCACTTGCACAGAGCGAGACACAAGGTATCTGGTAACCATAAAACAAGAAGATGACATGAATATGCGCAGCTGCCCAACAGTTATACTAATACTGAGGTTTCAGAAAAAAGTGAACCTAAACCAAGTTACATGTATCAACGATCGTGATCGGATCAAATAGCTGTTTCAGTAAATCAACTACATCATCAGCTACAAACAATGGTCAACAATGCCCTTGAATATTGTCCACCTTGAATTTCCTGTTCAAAACAAACAGATCATCCGTGGAAAATGAAACACGTATGTATTAATTCCACCAAGATACTAGTCATTTCATGCATGGCATAAATAATTTACTCATTTAATAAATAACTATCGCTGACAAGTCCACGATCGAAGCAGTCAAGTCATGGTTTAGCTGAGAATAATCGACTTGTCAAAAAAATTAATCAGGTCACCCATCGCCTGTTCATTTGGAAATCTCAAAACGATGAGAGCTCGGATCATAAAACTGCTTTCCTACATTTCGAGTTTTTTCACATACCTTAGACTTGCTATTTTCTTCGTTCTTTTCAAGTGACGTCTCAGAGCCATCTGAAGGGGATTGCTTGCCAACAGTTGAGCGCTGAATTTCCGACGGAACCGTGACAAGCTCCCATGAATCCTCCATGTTTTGGACACTCGAACAAGAAAGACTGGCACTAGTGGAAATCTCGAATTTCGGAGGTAGCGGGAAGTAATCTTTGTTTTTTGACTTGATGCTTTTCAAAATCCAGTGGAATGGGATAAAACCAGTATATCTTTGATCTACAAGAGGTGACAAATACGTAAAGGAAACATTCCAAGAAATACATCCCAGATTGACAGGATGGAGATGGCTTATTTAATATCTCCTACGAGGTAAACCGAAGATTTCCGAACTTTTCCGACAACATTTTCGGATGGCTCGGTCCAGACCCTGCGCAACTCGCACTTTGCACTGTCCATGTATCTTTCCTTGCCGATTTTATAGCTTCATGGAAAACCGTACATTAAAGAAACGCAAGAACATTAAGAAAGGTAAAAACTCTTCGAAAAAGTCAAGAAATCAGGTAAGCCTGCTTTGAGAATGGAGATGATTGGATCACATCTTCGGCCTCCTCTATGACTTCGTTAAACCAAGCGCGTTGCACGTGTTGTAAATTTGACAAAGATGGCGAACCGGCGTCTTAAAAATGTTGCGTCACTTTTTTCTTCTGATCTGAGTTTGTTCAGACTGATCATCGAAATCCCTCGGTAGTATCAGAACGTACTTATCGTGGGTAGAATTGCAGTTCTAAGTTCGCGTCAAAGGCACATCACGCTGATTGTTTATTTTGCAATATGCACGTGGAAAAAGACATGTGGACCGTACACTTAACCGATCTTTTTGATCTGTGAAATAGACAATGTAAAATGCTTTTAACATAATCACCTTTGCATTCTGAAGAATCACGGGAACGTCAACAACTTAAGCTGTAAATTGCGTATGATACAGTAGGCTTATGATTGATTCACTTACATCATTCAGCACATGTGGTACACAGTTGGCTTATAATAATCATGCGTAATCAGGGCAAGATGGCGAGAAATTCAAAGATTTGTATTGGAATTCAAAGCCAGCTAATTCTTCCTGAATTCATACATTTGATGCTTTCTCTTTGAAAAGGAGTTCAAAGAAATAACACACTAAATCTGGAGTGCAAAGAAGTCCGTGATCAGTTCTTAGAAAACCTCAATTTTCTTTTTCCATTCATTTTCTGTAATTTGATACTGTCAAATTACGGAAAATGCATGGGAAAATCTATATACTAGGTACTATTTAGAAGTGTGATGATAGGTTGTAACTCTTTGCTATGCTGATAATTTTAAGGGAATCGAAAGAGGTTTCACGATAAAGCACAAGGATGTCAAACACAGCAAGAAAAGGCAGCATAGCTCTGCTGATGGCGATGAAGGGCCTGAAACAAAGAAGCAGTGCAAGGCAACAAATAAGAACCATGTACTACTTAACAAAGAGGTACATTATAATAATTACAGTTAAGATAGCAGCTTAGGTGGGCTGTTCACTTGTTGCCCAACTTGATTTACTAGTACTGCAGGGTAGCGACACAAAATTTGATTGAGTTCACATTTTGAATCAGTACCTGATACATAAATGTGTACATATTTGCTCCCTTTCACCGTGACAGATGCCAATTAAAATACGAGTGTAGTAAGGAGTTATGGGAATACAAAGCAGAAGATTACCTTGGAAACCAAGACAGGACACGTGTACACAGGGACCCCATGCCCACTTTAGTCCCCAAGTTTAAGGCCTTGACCTTGTACTCAGGCAGTGGTAAAGTACCTTAATTCCGGTGGGAATACTTCAAAGCATGGTGTATTCTCATTGGTTTCGAGTGAGCGCTGTGCTCGGGCAGGACACAGGCTATAAATTTATATTAATTTTATCCTTGCTTGATTCACAAAAAATATTGTATAATTTATGGATAGGGTTTCAATGATATCTTGTCTGGCAACATATGCTGTATTGTACAGTATGCTATAGATACAGAGCCACTATATGTTGTTATTAATGTTTTCGTGAAAACTGGCAAAAATGTGTTTGTTTTGGACACAAGACTGACATGTAAAGCTGTTGACTGGAATACAAGCATGTGTATGTTTGTCTGCAATGTTGTGTGCAGTTCTTGAATAACACAAGAATTAGGAATGCTTTGCTTTCCTAAGACTTATAAATAAATGGCCGTACCTTTCAAGGGTTAATATGCACGCAGCTGGTCCATAATGGTTTCCACACATTAATTTTGTGATGCACATGTAATGCTAGCATCTTGTTTGAATAAAAATTGATATTAATTTTGCATTGTGGCCCGGGTCACACCCAGTTGTCACTGATGCATTGGACTGGTGTATATTATTGCATCCCTTATAAGTTTTAATAGAATCTTAAGTTGTTGTTGGTTCACATACTTTACACTCTAACTAATGCAAGGAATCTGGTTTATTCCATAGGCTTCCAAGCCTTGTGAATTACCAGCTGCCTAGAGCATTATCTCTTTTGAGTCCTGCTGCTCAGGTATACTGATCATGAATGTACTATTTGAAATCAATGGTAGTTCACCTTTCTTTGCCCTGCTTACAAAAATATTATGTTTATTGTCGAAGATGAATGTTGACCTTTTGATTAAAGCTCTCCTTTTGATCAACAATTTTTGTCATCAAAATTATGTTGAACTACATATCTAATATTTTTTTAAGAATAAAGGAATTAGGTGATAACAAAAAATACTCTAGTTTTTCAGACAAAGTACCAAAATTTGACAACTGTAATATTCACCCTAACCCCCTTCCAAAAACAAGCACCCACCCTGGCACAAACTAAGAGATAAACATTCCTCAAAGAAGCAGCCCTCAACCCCACCTCCCCCCCCCCCTCCCTCCCCTCCCTCCTCCCACTTTCCTCCCAATTTCTTTCTTAAATAGTGTGGATATATTCTTTTTTTTGAAATTTTTACTAAACTAGTATCAAAATAAGGTACAATAGTTTGCTGTTATGTGAGTTCCAGTTAGAAAGGGAGAATTTCTCTAAAATGTACTTTTTCAGGTTTTTTGGAAGAAAGTTATGATAAGCACTCTCCTTAATTTAGTTTTTTTCAGCAGAATTTTAACTTTTTTTTCAGTGCTTGCATTGTTATTATGTACTTCTAGTCCAGGAAATATTGGTCCTGCCAAAATCTTTGAGCAGGGTAACATTGCAATTTTAATCTGTGATATCAGAGGCTATCAGCGCACTGTTACCCATGAGTGTTGACTGACAATCACCATTACAGTCAGGTTTAATGAATTTCCAGAGATTTGAGATTCTCGGGGAAACAAAATTGTTTCCCTAGGGAATGAACAGAAAACAGATTGGAGAACAAAGCCATTGATTTTAGGGATTAAAGCGTTTCGTACCACCACTACATGTCACTTTTTTTCATGTTTTCACAGGAAGATGACCTGGATGTAAAAGAGTCAGGAGATTTTTCTAAATTTCGATTATCAGAGGAAACCATAGAGCGGCTAAGAGGTTAATTACTCTCTTTTGTCTTTCTCTTGTTTTTTTCTTTATATTGTTTACAATTTTTTTTCTGTGGTGCCATAATGTGACAGCCTGCTAATAATAACAACATTAATTTTCTTTTGTCTTTTTTTGCAGAGAATAAAATAAACTATTTATTCCCCATTCAAAGTGAAACTTTTGATTACATCTATGATGGACAAGATATAATCGGACAAGCAAGTAAGACTGTAGGATGGTTTATGTTTAGCCTTCTTATTACTTAAGGTGTTTGAATATATCAAAATGCACTGTAAGCATTGTTCTTATACCTGTGCTCAAATGGTTGTCTGCCGAGCAGTTTGTCTTAAAAAATAAAAAATTTAACTTTTGGATCCTTTGCTATGATTGTTTAAATTGATTTCAAAGGTAAAATTTTGCGAGCAGTTAAAAATTTTGATGGACCATTCATCACCATTTATACCTGTGCTCAGTTGTCTAGTTTGTCTATAAAAAAAAAGAATGTTTCTTTTATCCTTTACTATGATTGATTGATTTCTAGCCCCAATTCATAAATAATGAGGGCTGGGAGACAAAGGAAATTGAGAATCAACCCAGGTTAAAAGAATTTTTAACCTGAAATTAATTTTGACCTGTAACATATTGTAAAGCTTTTTAAAATTTGAATTTCTTTATTTTATTTCTTATTTTATTTTATTTTCACTATAGGAACTGGGACAGGAAAAACGGTATGCCATGATTAATTTTTGTGTTTTTCAAATGTGAATAATAAAAGTAGACCGAACAATTTAAGACCAGCATGTGAGTCAATTTACTTGTTACAACAAAGTATATCAACTTTAACTCTTAATATTACTTAAATGTGCATTGTTAGTTTACAACACCAGATTTATAGTTAACAGTGTTGCATGTTGTCATTGTATTTGCAGCTCTCATTCGCCCTACCGTTAGTTGAAAAACTCAAGTTAGGAAATTTGTCTAATAAACCAAGACGGCCTCCAAAGGTAAAGAATCACAATGTACATATTATTTTCATATTTCAAGTGATCCACATGTATACAGCTGGTATCAAAGTTAGCTGAGACAGTTCATCTGAAAAGACAGTGATTATCGCTAAGAACATGTCTCTCACACCCTCTAAAGGAGGTCTGATCTCCTGCTCTCCCATACGGTTCACCAAATCTCCTGGATAAAATGGACTTTTTGTGCTTGAGTTTGAAATTTAGCCCATTTCTTCCTCAATATTCAAACTTTTTTTATTCATTGTAAGTTTCTGGGACGTATTTAGTCACCGGCAAAGATTATTTCATCATTGTAATGATGAAGGCAAATTTTGATGGCATTTTTCCTCAAAATTTGAATAATTTTTTATTCATTGCCATGGAGGCTGGGACATTTTTTAAACATATTCACCGGGTAAAGGGGCTTTTCATCATTTGGGGGCAAATTGGGATAGGGGTGTACTTCAAAATAGAAGACTCCACATTTTAGATCTCCCATGGAGGTTGGGTCATCTCTGGGCATCATGTGCTGTGGGACTGTTGTCATTTGGTCTGGATCTGCAAGCAAAATTTTAAAACAGCAAATTTTTGATGGGGGGGTTGGGGGGATGGTGGAGGGGGTTAGCTTGTCGCTGTGTTGCCCAAGATTGATAATCCTCAGCCATTGGATGAAAAAGCTGTCTTAACGTTTTTGTTAGACTTGTACTGTAGCTCTATCAGCTTTACATATTTCATTGCAAGGAATATGCAATTTAATCAACACATCAACAATCATGGATTGATTATTGTGAATATTTAGAATATTTCACCCATCTCGTGACATCCAAGAGTCCACCTGCATGCACCAATTTCTATCTGGTTAATTATCTCAAGCAGTTAGCCTCAGAGACATCTTATTATTGTGAACAGTGTTTTACTATAGGCACAACAATATTACACTTGTTTTGTAGGTCCTAGTTTTGGCACCTACCAGGGAACTTGCTAAACAGGTAAAACATCTTTTTGATGTTAATTAGTAATTTTTTTTATATCCATACATCTTGACTGTATAATCAAAGCAGCCTTTTCATTAGATGGGTTCTATCATCTCTCTTTTTATAAATTTTTTCAGAAGCATTTTAAAGAAATTTTATCTTTCAAAGGGAAATAGACTTCCTTTCTGTTTATTTGCCCTAAAGCAAGAGTGATAATGCTAATGACTGAGGTAATTATAAGGAGGATGGCTGGCCATGGTGTGGACTTTAAGAGAGAAAAATAAAATATATCATATTGAACAGTCTTTAAAAAAAAAAGTTATGCGGGGACCACTTTTTGTATTAAATTAGGTCACTAACTTATATTATATTATGAGATAAACGTGTTATACAAGCCTCAGTTTTTAGGCCTTTTTTTGCATTTGAATAAGTTGCATCAAAAACTGCATTGGACTTCTGTCCATTTAAGTTTTCATCCCACAGTTCTGGTATACTATATGATATTCATGTTTTCATAGATGTTTGAGATTGATACATGTATGTAAATTTCCCTTTTTAGGTTGGAGATCAATTTGATTTACTCAAGTCAGGTCTGAGTGTACATTGTGTGTATGGGGGAGTCGCGTACGGACCACAAGGTAGAATTACATGCACATGGCACTAACATGTTTTTTTTTTCTTACAAATTAAAACTTACAGTGTAACATTTAAGATGCCAGACATACATGTATTCATTTGAAATTTGTTACCTTCGTACCCTAACATAGCAACCACCAGACCAACTTCTCCTCGCAGTCTTCCCCTGGTGCTAATGAGGAGAATTAGTGTAACAATAACGTCATTTCATCTTTAATAGTGTAGCCATCATTCCTCTTATTCTCATTAACTTCATTTCCATTAGGTAATAAAATACAGTAAAGGTACAATTACCAGTAGATGCTGGTCTTAGGGCTTTATAAGTTGTGTTCCACCATCTTTTCAGCGCAAGCAATAAGAAATGGTTTGGATGTCATTGTTGGAACTCCTGGAAGAATCCTTGATCTCATGGTTAATGGTACTCTGGACTTGACACAGCTAAAGTAAGAACACAAAACAAATTATTTTATAAACAAGAATACATTAACACCATTTCCACCTTTCCTGCCAGACTAAGATTCCAAACATTGGAATATTAAGATAATACTGGGAAGCTAAAAATAGGAGTTTTTGTCAGGCCTGCTGAAATATGATATTTTTATCTTTTTGTACCCTTTTCCTCTAAAAAAAAAAACTCATGCTAACTAGAGACCACTGACTACTTTATATAGACTACATGTATTGCAATAGGTGTCTAGTAATCAGAGCTCAGATCAGCTGACGTGACATCTTAGTTTACTTAGCCTGGGTCTGGCTAAACTGGAATATTACATGTTTTCTACTGGTAGAGGTAACAATTCTAGCTGGTGTTTTGGTCAGCTTGTGTTCAAAAAACATGTACATGTACCCAGATAATGGGTCGTAAGTCAAACCAAGAGTATCCCAAGGATCCCTCACCAAGTTAACAAGCCCCACCGGGGGGTGGCTGGTGGGGAGGGGGGCTTGCTAGCAGATGAAACTTTCACCTAATTCACTGCATTGACCATTTACAGACATGTCGTTATTGATGAAGTTGACAGGATGTTAGACATGGGTTTTGCTCAGTCTGTAGAGGATATCATTGAAGAATCATACCGCAATGGATGTAAGTAATCTTGGCCAAAACTTTAACTATATTAATTTTAAGGAACCAAAACCAAAGTTTAAAATGAGGAAAGTTGAAGTAGTCCAGTTACAAGCAAAGGCTTGAATATCCTTGGATTGGTGGTACCTTTTAAAAAACTGGAGCCAAACTTGAAAACTTAACCAACACACAACACATTAAAATAGAAACTACTTCCAGAGTAAAACCACATGGCCACCCTAGATTGATAACCCTTCTCAAGTGATGAAAAGTAACTTTTTGAGTGGAGAGAAGCAACGAACGGTAGTACATTTGCATTCACAGGATAGAAAAACAAGAGGATATCTAGTTTTAAATAGTATAAGTGATGATTTACTCAATATAAATTGCATACAGTCGTGTTTTGCTGTGGTAAAAATCATTGTAAGATTATTGCCCTAATACACAATGTACGATCAATTCATTAGCAAAAGAAAACAAGCCTCAGACTCTCCTCTTCAGCGCTACATTGCCTCCTTGGGTTCTTAGAACAGCAAAGAAATACATGAGTGAAGACAGAAAAATAGTGGATCTTATTGGAGACCAGGAGCTTAAAGCTTCCGAGACAATTGAGGTGAGACAATTTACATGTGCTATATAATTATGCCAAGATTTAATTTAAAACTTAACTTCTATTCCTTGTAACAGAATTGGGTGTAGATCATGGGAGATGGTCAGTATTTGAGACTTGGACTTCTAATAGAGGTTTATTGCTTGAACAGGTCATCTCTCATTTTATGTGAAGAGAATTTGTTTCAATTTTCAGCTCTGTGGGGGTCCAGCTATCGTTGGGTACCATACATACAAAGTCATTATTAATTTAAAAAAACACTCATTGCCCCTCCTCATCAGAAGAGATTGTACAGCAATGTATTTTCCACAAAGCATCTTATTTAGTAAGAAATTGTCCTTCTGTGTGGGAAGTTTAAAGAAAATGTCAAATTATCACCACAAAAAATGATCATGATCACTTAAAACCATTCTTAGAGTCTCGTATTTTAATCATCTTGTTTGTTCCTTCATAGCATCTTGCCATCAAGTGTCCATATGAGGCCAGAGCCTCTACAATAAGTGACATTGTGCAGGTTTGTCCAAGTGCTGTGTAGTGTTTGTCCCAGACAATATTGAAGGGGTGCATCAAAAAAATCCCAAGTGAAGCTAACAACTGTTTTCTGCATTTTTTGCATGTAGAATCACTATATACAACCACACAACCAATTTTCACAGTCAATGCTGTAATGATAATTACTGCATAACATTTTGCCATAGCAACAGTACAATCTGTGATCAACACCCTTAATTTTTTGTTTGAATGCAATTTATAACTCAAAAACAAGTTTGGTGACTCCCATTTTTATCGTCAAATGTTGGATTTATAGCATGTTAAAATACATGGTTTTGCCAAGTTGGGAAAAAAAAATTTGTATAAGCAAGTCTATATCCACATTTTAATAATACATTGTTTTACAATTAAATTTTTCCTTGTATCCCGGGTTGCTATTAATGTAATCATGTAGTGTATGCGTGTCCTTTCGTTTTGCAATGTTGAATTTGTAGAACTAAACTGTATTTTTTGTATATTTATTAATTTTTGGTAGGTTTATTGTGGTGCCCACAGTAGAACTCTTATTTTCACGGAAACAAAGAATGATGCCAACAATTTGGCCTTAAATTCTATTTTAAAACAGGTTGGTTTCCTACGTAACACTATTACGACTTGTAAGCTTCATAAATTTAAAATACAAGAGGCCACATTGCAATGGAAGAAGTAGTCTAAGAAGAGAAATCATGACACTGACCCTTGGCTGAGACTTGGTCTAAACTTCAAGCCCCTAAAAAGGACTTTTATGCATAAATCCTGCAACATGTGATCAGTTGAGAAGAAAAGCACTAACACCCGCAGTAGCTTGCTGCTGCAAGAGCCAAGTGCACATGACAGGCTGATGAGTCAGGAAACTTTATAAAATGTGCTCCTCCTTCCCTGTCTCAATATATCAAATGATTCCTTGAGTTTATTCTTGTTTCGTTCTAGGATGTACAAGTTCTCCATGGAGATATACCACAGGAGCAAAGGGAAATAACTCTAAAAGTGAGTTCCCACCAGCAAATAATTATATATAATTATTTTTCTTTCTTTTTAGAAAGAGCATGTGGCCGACAAGTGTAACTATTGTTTTCAGGCTCTAAAATAGTGGGCCATAAAGTTTTATTCAAGTGACCATTTAGTCGGACAAATCAGAAAAATTGTCACACATGCATTACAGTGCAAATGTTCCCCTACAAATATGACCCTTTGCTATTTCATCTGTCCGGTCATTATGTCCGACTGCGGCTAGGATTTCACAGAACATTGGCAAATTTTAATCAGACTTTGTCCGGTGGCCAACTGGCAACTCAGTGAGTGTTACACACGTAGCCGAGTAACACTTTGAAAAATCCCTTCTCCTCGGGGGTTTAACAAAGTAAGAGGGGAGGGACTAGACTCGATGGTATCAGATCGTTTCGCCAGGTAACAGTTCGCCCTTACTAAGTCGATTCGCCCCAATCGTATTTGTCGTTTTGCAAGCTTGAAAAAGGGAATTAGCATGGAAAGACGGTGACCGCACATGAGGAATCCAAGGGTAACTAAAATAACATCTCGAAAGGTATGCTCACCATGTTGTAGAGTGTTTTATGTCATTGGGCGAATTGACTTATGTCCAGGCGAATCGACTTTCGGGTGAAACGACCGCAATTCTCCTTTCTTCTCTGGGAAGAACAAGATCGGACCCGAGAGACCGGCGGAAATCGAGCCAAGGATGGGACACAAGAGGCAAAAAGTTCAACAGAAATTTATTGCAACACTGAACTGGAGTCAAGGGTTTAACTAAATAGGCGTCGAGTGAAGCAAAGTTGATCATCTATCATATTTTGTTGACTCGGCAGAGTTTTCGTGATGGAAAAGTTCGTTGTTTGGTAGCCACAGATGTCGCAGCAAGAGGACTTGATATTCCAGAAGTAGATCTTGTTGTACAGAGTGAACCACCGAAGGTAATGCAGCTGTAATGTAAGGCAATGTTTACACTATGCCGGATAGCTTTTGCGCCTGAATGAAAATCATGCCGCGGATATATGTTCACACACAAGAACGGTGATTTCGGTGCGATTTCTGTAACGGAGCGAAGCTGTGCTGTGCCGATCTCTAAAGTGCAGAAACATGTATCGGATAAGTGTTCATACTCTACCGGAGAGCTTTTTGTGTCAGCAAGCGTTTACAAAAGCAATTACAATTAGATGACCACAAGCACAGAAAGAAACCGTTTTATACCTTTTTCTTGTTTTGTTTTTGTCTTTGTTTTTTACCAGAAGGACCGCCCAGGGTATTCAAATCATAGACAGGCTAAGTGTTGCTGAGCAATGGCTTACAAGAACTTAAAAATAAAAGAAAAGAATAGCCGCGGTGATTCACTAAAGTGGCTGGTAGCTTACGGGAGCGGTCGCGTACGAAAGCTTTTCATCACTGCGTTCAAGTCACGCATCAAACATATTTAAAACGGGGTCTCACGTGTTGGTCGGAAGAAGGGCTAGTCTTTTACGATAGTGGTCGCAAAGCGATTGTTGACTGTAGTAAAACTAGCCATGTTTAGTTTACTTACAGTGTATGTGTATTGATTAAATTCTTTTGGCAGGATCTTGATACTTACATTCATCGTTCTGGTAGAACAGGAAGGGCCGGCCGCAGCGGAATCAGCATCGTGTTTTACAAACCTAACCAAGAAGCTCAGCTTCGTGCCGTTGGAAAAAGAGCTGTATGTATGCTTTATGATTCTATGCCACTCTGTTTTTAATTAATTTTGTTGTTGTAGTCAAGTTCAGAAGAAAGAGGGACGTCAAAATTTCATTATTGATGGTTATGAAGTAGTATTACGCCTTGTTTAGATCAAAGCGGCAACAGAGGAAACGTTCTTTTAGTGTAATTCCAAGATATTGAGAAGGCATAAACGAAATCTTGCGGAAACGTAAGGAGTGAAATATTTCTTTTCCTTTCACTTGTCGTTTCCGCCTTTGATAAACATCCGTCGTATATTATCATTGCGCTGGTATAGACCTTGCGATAGGACAACAGTGACGCCAGTAAAAGTGTAACTGAAAAACCGAATTCGCGTCCTTTCAATGTTTTTCGTGGCTGTTGTCCGCTTCCTTTGCTTTAGCCGTTAGTGTAAGTAAGTAGCATGCAAATTCAGAGTTGTGACCAAAACGTAAACTCACTTTATCGTCCACTCATGATGAGTTGTTAAATGAAGCCGATTAATGCACAGGTAGAAGTTTGAATCTTGAGAATGAGTAGAATGAGTTAACAGATAAGGTAAGGTACTGGTTGTCAAATAATTGTTTTTTCCTAATATTTTTGTTCCTACTGTAGGGGATCTCGTTCAAATACATCCCACCACCACAACCAGCTGACATTGTCAGAGCTTCGGCGTCAGATGCTCGAAGGTAAGACCTTCTGTTATTATCACAGACTGCTAAAAATTATTGGGAGAAACAATGTTAGTGATATGAGGTTCGCGTGAGACTGCGTCAATGTTGTGCCGAATTGCACTTTGGGACTGTTTGGGGACGCAATCGCTTCGTGCATCCCGTGTAAGGGAATCCGGATTGCGGAATTTAGGAAATTTTTGCCCGTAGAATCCGGAATTCGGAAAATCCTTCCAATGGTGAGTTCTAAATTTGAAATCCAGAATTTTTTCCGGAATTTACTACCGATTGACAAAATTCCAGTGCCTGGGAGAACCGGGACTGGCAAAAAAGACTCCGGCCTTGCAAAATTGTGCTGGGAGCTGGGTCAAAATCCGGCCTCAAAACAGTTCCATAGTGCAGTTCGACGACTCAGTCTACAGTAACCTGTAGTAACCTCACAATGACCAGTAAACAAGCTGCACCCGTTAAGTAATCTGCATGAATCGTTAAAAGTCTCTTTCGCGACACATGGAGTAATTTCCTTGTTAGCCAGCGTAGCTGGCGATTTTGTTTGTCTAGCGGGCAAATGAGTGGCAAAGCCGTGGGGAGGATGGGGTTGAAACGCTTCTCAGCTCGTTCGTGTGCGTTTGCGCAGTTTCGCCATTCAAACCACTCGCTACGCAGGCAATTTTCTTCATATTTTTTCTCACTGTAGGTTTGTTGAGGCAGTTTCACCCGAGGTGCTGGACATGTTTCGCGAAGCCGCTCAAGCTTTGGTTGATAAGATGGGCGCTGTGGATGCTGTTGCCGCATCGTTGGCGCACATTTCTGGAACAAAGGAGATCAAATCACGCTCCCTTTTAACCGGAAGAGAGGTAGTTATCACGTGACCTAGGATTTTTCACGTTATGTAGGAAGTAAACGAGGTTGAGTCTGGTAGAATTTTATTGTGTTTCTTGGGTACTTAAAACAGATTTATCGGGACTGTAATTTCATGATTTGGCTGTAAAATCGACAACAGTCACTTCGGTCGAAAACTTTTATCGTTGGTTGGGCACTTTTTTTCGTTAAACTGAAAGAGAAATTTTGGAGAGTTAAATGAAGCTAAATTTCGCGGAAATCTTGATTACATGTACGTATTTTAGTACTCTTTGCAGCAAACAAGCGAGGGTTCCTCGCGGTTTCTGCCAGCATTTTTGTGTGGCTCCCCGGAGATTTATTAACAACTACATTGATTATTCTTTAAGGGATTTACAACTTACATGATGTCTGCGAGTTATGAGATTCGTGGACCAGGTTATATGTGGCGGGTACTGGAGAACAACATTCCCGACGTGAAAGAGGAGATTGAACAAATGAAAATGTGCAGCGACAGAAAGGTTTGAATTTTGCGTGTACTTGTCTTCTAATTAATTGAATTGTAATTTGTTTACCCACGGAACACTTAGGAGTTCATAAGAACTCGTTGAAACGTGTCCGTGTGTTCCAGATCGAATTGGAATTTGAAAGTGTTGGTTTTTAAGGAGAAGGGAAAACCCGGAGTACCCGGAGAAAAACCTCTCGGAACAAAGGACAGAAGCAACAACAAACTTAACCCACGTATGGCGTCGACGCAAGGATTAGAACCCGGGCCACGTTGGGTATTTTTTTATTGGAATACTCAGCGGGAACCTCTTTGGAGAAGAGAGCTCCCCACCCCCACCCCCTAAACTGGAGGGGGTTGAGTGGAAGGTTAATTGCTGAATAAATTGTTTTATAGTAGCATAGGGTACCCTTTTATCCTTTGTTCTCTTATTTAGTTTGTCAGTAAACAATTTATTCATTCATTCACTCATTTTTTTTTAAACAGAGTGTGGTATTGGATGTGCCAAGTCATCATGAAAAAGCATTTGAGGTTAGTTGATAACACAATTATACTTATAAAACACTTTAATTTATACTTTTTGTTAATTTGTTTGTTTGTTTATTGAACTGTTCGAAGTTAAGAAAATGGTTTGTCAAGGTATTTAAACGTTTTCTTTCCTCCTCACGTCGCTCCCATGGAGGGAAATCATTGTAATTCTCCAGAACGGTGAAGCATAATATACAGTTATACTACCACCATGTTTAGGCAGGCGGAGTGTAAACACGTGCCTTATGGGTTAAAATACAAAGAAAGTACAACAACAATACCTCAAAAAAGCGTCCAAACCGGCGGCATTCTGTTTCTTCGTCTTCAATGTCCCTTGTTTCGTTCAAAGAATTCTTTTGTCATCCTCCGAACTCTCTGTAGTGGCAGTCCTTGACAGTGATCCAGCTTGCTTCTCTTTCATTGACGAGTTTTATGATCGTTTATTCGTGTTTAGAGCCATATTCAGCTCAGCAAGCTTCTCTTTCACATTTTAAGTGTACTTAGTGACCAGAAAATTAGCAGGGGCTCCGTCAAGTGTTCCAGAAAGCTCGAAAGTAAAAAGGAATTTTTTTCTGCTTCGACAGCAATGTCCAACTTATGTGTTTCGCCGCAGTTTGGAAAACGAGTGCGGACGAAAGTGCTTGCGCTGTCTCGTCGAGATGATTGTTAAAACGCTCAAATACTTCGTCCACATTATCGGAACGAGATAACTTTCGCTGCCCCTGTTACATGTTGTTCGCTCCGGAAAAGACGAAATTGCGACGATAAAATGAATAACTTTTCAGCAATAACCGCCGTGTAGCAACTTCGAACCGCACGTATAAGGGAGTTTAAGATGCATGGAACTGCGGCCGCGGTGACGAGAGCGTCAAAGAAGCAAAAGTTTTGTTGAGCAAAACAACAGAGCACGTGCAGCACGCTTTTTTGTACATTTCTTTGCCGTTACTGCACGACTACGAAGTGAGAATGCCCATTGTTTCACGTTTTATGGAGGACGTAAACAAGCGAGGACGAAATTTTCTTTGTCTTTCTGAACTTGGATATGGTTCTGAGGAATTCAACTCTATAGTGGTTTGCTCGCATTTGGCAAAGTAAGCTAGTTGGGATAATCGAGACAGAGATTGAAAGAACGCGAATTCACTTTTTAAGTGCGTACAAAAATTTAGACGCCTAGCCGTTCAAAGTTCCATTGAATGGAGCGAAGTATTGAACTGTCCCGCGTGAACGAGGTGTCCTGTCAAATTTTTCAGACGGTCAAAAATTCGTGCAGTTCCATTTGCCCGTGTCTCCACTCTTTCACTCCGTCCACACTTATCTGGAGATTTTTGAAAACGAAGATGTTTTTCTCCGTTTAATAAACGGAGCGTTTTTCGTGCATTAAAACGCAGGTTTTCGAAAACAATCTCCACTCCAGAGTGGAGATCTTTTGAAGCACTGGCTTCTCATTTTTGTGTGGATGAGTTCATACATCATACATTACTAGCATTATATTTCGCGTGTTGTTTTAGGAATGCTATCGTCTTTCCAGCGTTTTTATTTGGACGGCGGGCGAAAACGACTCAATTACGTTACATATGGACGCGTATGATTTATTTATTTATTTATTTATTTCCGCTTTCAAAACCATCCTGATACGTGTAGACAGGGCCTTTGACTTTCTCTCACTCTTTCTGCTTTCAATACCGTTTAGTAAAAAATTGTATTTTGTTTATTAAACAGGACTGCTGGACCGAGGGCAAGGCTGGAAGAAACATCACTGTAGAAAGAATATCGGAATTACCAGAACTATATGAAAGACCACGGTTTGGCCAAATGGGAGCATCCCAACACTTTGGAGAAAGATATAGCCAAGGCAGAGATGTTTACCAGAGATACGGCCCTGGACAGTTTGCCTCTAAAGGCTACGGTGGAAAGGAATCGTTCAGAAGAGATTTCAGGCCGAATAGATTTCCTGAAGGAAAGAACAGGGACCATGTCATGAATCAACACAGAAAGAATATTAGTCAGAAATTTGACGACTGGCTAGACTGAAGAAATTGTTTTTTAGACAGCGTCTTTTAAGACAAAGTAATTTTGCGCTTGCTAACTAAGGTCTCTCCTTAAAGTCAGAACTTTTTTCAGAGTTTTAGGCTAACATAACTTTGTTTCCAAACACTCCCTTGCACCTGAGAAAGGATTCAGAGAAAATTCCCTGGATAGCCTGCGTAGCAAGCGTTTCTACTGAGTTCTTGCCCAAAGACTCCTTTTTCGGCAACCCCTCACCCAACTTCATCGTATCAATATTCCTGCCAGGGGTGATCGCTTCTGGTAAAGCAAATGTGACCAAACGTCTTTAATCATACTGTAGAAGGTGCCGAGTTTCTAAGTGATGCACGATTTCTTCTAGTTATACTGTAGTTCCAGTTTAAAGTATACTGTTGATATTATGAATGACGACCTCGTCGACGACCTATTTTCTGGGTATTTGTGAGAATCCACTCTGGAGCACGGACGTACAATTAGAGTTTGTGACTTTATTCCGAGCTTCTGTGACTAGAGCTTCTGTGCGTAACACTGATGCATAAAGATTTGACACCTTTACTAAATGTTGATTTTCGATCTCGTCAACCTAACTTCCCTGTTAGGCTAGCACTTGTATCTAAACAAGATACCCCTTCAAGAAAGATAGCGCTTTAAAAAGGATCCCTTTCTAAGGACAGACACCGTTGTAACAAGGAATACAACTCGCTTAGCTTCTCTTATAAGACAAAGATCACCCTAAAGTAAACCTTCCTGTAAGGCAGACATGGTAACCAACCCTGTAAAACAGAGATCTCCGCAAATTAACTACCGTGAGTGATCACATTAATGCCCCCTTTAAAATAAACTCTCCCTGTGTAATAAACGCTCTGTCTACGATGTTAAGGTGACTCGACCCAGTTTTTTGGGAGGGGTACCATCCTACGTTGAAGCTCTCTGGTATCCCCACCTTTACTTTTATCGTAAGTCTAACACATGTACAATATAACAAAATTTTTGGCGATCGGAGTAAATGTCACGTGGTCATAGTGCCACGCCTCTTTGGGGTCTGAGTCGAAATTCTGCTGTTGCCGGCATATTTTGGTGAACATCTCTCGGCTACACATAGCGCGCCTTAGTGCCTTGCGCTGAACAGAGTTTCACCAAAATCGCAAAGACCCAATTCGAGAAATTCAGTGGTTTTCAAATTTAGGTCATAATTTATGCGAAAATGATAAGCAAACTTTACACAATTATATCTAATAAACTATGAGATTTATCCCTTTATTTTGGGGATCTTTATACAACAGATAGGTCCTTGCAAGTCAGCAGAAAGCTGAGAGAAATTATAGTTTTAGGTACTTGTTGACGTTTGTCAGTGTTTAAGACTGCTTCTCTCGACTTCTTTCAAAGTCCTCGACGTGCTAAAAGCCAGTACAAGAGAATTATCTCTCCTTCTTTGAAGGAAATGTACGTAGATTTCCTGGTTTAGGACAAAGCCTAAATATCATGGCCAGAGTACCGTTGTTTAGAGTTAAAGACTTACGTTTTACCCCTTTTTCTTTCTCGTCCATCTTAATCTTGACGTTAAGGTCCGGCATCTTGAAAAATTGCCGGAAAACAAAGTGTGCAACTACATATAAACACTTGTAAATTAACGTCACAATTCATTGCTCACAATTACCTGTCATTTTTGGCAGCTGTCAGTCGAGAGGACCGAGGATTGGGATTCCCGCCTTTATTTTACCACTGTCCGCTAAAAAGACCAAATAAAGAAAGGGGGAAAAAGTCGACTTTTCTTACTTTGAAGAAAAAGGCACAAAGTTGAAAAAACTCGAGAAATTTCTCTTTCCAGCTTTTTTGCGATTGGTGAGATGTAAATATTACTCAAGAAAGTTCGTTCACTTTATATCGAAGACAAGTCCTGAAAATATACTGCTTTTCATGAGGAAAGGGGGCACTTTTCTCAGGTTTCCATAAGAGCGAGTGGAAGTTAAAAAAGGGTTTCCTTTTTTCAGTTTTGAGTATAAAATACAAATAAAGATCTTGATTTTCAGACGTTTTTCATTTTCGTAATCCGCGTTTTTTGCAAAAAGTAGAACTGCCGGAACCGACCACTGATTAGCTAGCCGTTACGGAAGGTTTGATTTGGTATGTCCATTTTATAATAGGGAAACGGAAGGGGCCTTCTTTTAAAGTTCGTGGAGCTGCGCTGTGGAATGGGATTCCTCTTGACATGCGTAAAAAGGACACCGCTGGCGCGTTTAAGAATGCTCTTAACAAATACTTTGTAGCCTAGTTCTTGTTTGCATTTTTTAAATTCTAATATACATATCATTTTTCTTATCTTATAGTATATTTAATACGCCGTGTTTATCGTAGTATCGAGTAGTCGTTTTTAATATTCGTAATTTAAGACTGCGGGCAGGGGCGGATCTAGGGGGAGGGTGCAGGGGGTGCACACCCCCCCTCCCCCCTCTGAGATGACCTGCGGTTTTCTAATACAACTGCTATTCTGCAAAAAAAAAACTATGTGGTTTATTGGTGTTGAAGTAGAGCAAGAGACGAGTGCACCTCCCCCCCCTAAAAAAAATCCGGGATCCGCCCCTGGAGGGCCACTAGTTCATCCGTTTCTCTAGCCTGTCATCTGTCTAATGTAGGATGTCTTTTTATATTTTTATTCTAATGTACATACATTTTTCTCATCTTGTAGTAATTTTTACATTTTAATTTGTCGTTTTTATTTAATTAGCTCTAAATATTTTAATTACGATTGAGGGCCACTAGTTCATCAGTTTTTACTGTCATGTGCTACCCTCATTAAATAAAGTTGTTTAATACTTACTTACTTACTTCTCAGTGAAAAAAAAACAGTATCATTCCGTTGATAAGTGTATTCTGGTGTATGTTGGTTGTAATCACTTGCATCCTGTTTGCAACTGACCAAGAAAAGTCGCCACAAAATCGCTTTGTTCAATGCTTCAATCATGAAAAGCACTGAAGATGACACCCGCGGTTCACCGAAAATCCAAGACAGTCTTGGATTCTGGATTCTATGTTGTGGATTCCAGATTTCTTGTACTGGATTTCAGTCTTTGTCGGTGGGACTTGGATTCGGGATTCCAATCGTTAGTGTGATTCCCCATTCCTTACGGTGTATTTCAGATTCCAAAGCCCAGGATTCCGGATTCCACAAGAAAAATTTCCTGGACTCTGGAATCCGGATTCCCGTACATGGGGAAAACTTATCATCACATAAAGACAAGTAAATAAAGTAGACTGAGTACTTGTGTACAAGAATTGACTTGTGTCCTCATTATAGATAATATTGAGCACCTTTATTCAAGCAATAAATGCAAATTTGCATATATATTTCCTAATGGTATGAGTCGTAGAAAGAATGAAATTTGGCATATTTGTGATTATACAAAGCCTGATGCAGTCAAAAGATTTTTAAAAAGCTATTGTGCCACTATTTGTTTAATGATTGTGTCAGTACAATGTATGTACAAACACATATTATTACATATTTTTTTGTATTATTAATAAAAACTTTTCAAAATGTGAAATTCATACATGTTTAATCTCCTGTAATCAGGGCTGGGGCAACATAGCAGGAGACCCCTTTCCTTTCTTGTAATGCCCCCCAATTTTTCCCAGTTTAATGGTGTCATGGGTCTCGATCATTATATTGTAAATTTTACCGTCAAACCCTGTTAATACAGCCACAAAGGGGACCGTAGAAATTGTCCATTTTCATTTAGAGAAAATTTAAGGGCTTTTTTTCCCGGAACAAAACAAGCCGTCTCTAATGATGAGCAAGGCTGTGCTCTAAGGAACATTGAAAGGAGCCTAGTTCTCTCTGAACCTGTAAAATCTAGGCTGCTCAGCCTATGATTTGTATGAAAAATCTGAGATTTTCTAGTCACCCAAGGGCAAAAGTTAGACACCAGGGGCAAACAGGCTCTGCCAGCGCACACTGATCCTTGATGAGGTGTCTGTATTAGGCAGGTGTCCGTAAAGTGGGCTTTTGAGTTACCAGTTATTGCAGTGGTGGATCCTGGTAGTACAGTAAAACCCCTGTGACTTAAAACCTGGATTTTAAGAACCTGTTACGCTAAAATATGTCAGATGAGCCCCTTCTATATAAAAACCTGTTTAGCCTAAAATTTGAAACAGGTTCTTATTTTCTGAAATCCATGAAAAAATTCTGTACACTTGAGCAAAGATAAATCAACATTTAGAATCTTCTTTGGAGACAAAGCTGTCTTATCAATCCAGCTGCAAAGTAAAATGCCAATGTTTAAATCAAATACAATTGCTATATTGATACAATCATAACTTGTAATTGGTATGCAGACTTTATATGAGGAATAAGGTGAAACATAATACTCTTTAAAATAGCAGTGTTTTCTTCAGAAAATATGAACCCATTTAAAAACCTAAATAGCCTAAACTTGCCCTAACTACCATTTATATCAAAGCCTGTTTAGGCTTACTTGGAAAATTCAGCTTCTTAGTCTCACGGTTTTACTGCCCCATTGTTCCACTTTTTATATTTCCTTAATTTCCACGTCACCATTTTCTCAGCCTTGGTTCCCTTAATATCAAAAGTGCATTCAATGATCAAGCAATTCATATCTCAACTCAAGCCACCAAAATATGCAAATTGCCTGATATATATTAAACAGTGTAAACAGGTAAACAGATTGACTGACATCACTTAGCCCGCGTGGCAAACATTTCAAAGGAAAGGGGGTTTTTATGCACCAGAGAAACACAAGGGAAGGAGGGAGGGAAATGCCTGCTAGGAGTCACAGTACCACTGTTTTTGCATTATAAACATCCATCAGGTAAATGTTGAAATCCCTCCCTCTGATCCTTCCTTGTGCAATCTTCGCATTTCTCTCGCGCCCAAAACCCCTTTCCCTTTCTTTTCAAATGCCTGCCACAGGGGCTAGACACCATTGAATAAGCAGTTTGTTGCCTAGCTGCCCTGGCAGTATTTCTCAGCAGTCAAATCGGTAACCGGTCAAGTCGCCTGAGACTCATCTTGCCCGAAGTCATGTCACCCAAAACCAGAGTCATGTTGCCCGAAATTCATAGTCATCTCGCCTGAAATCCTAAGTCATGTCGCCCAAAATTTTATTGAGTGTTTAAACTTGAAGAAAAGTACCATCTTAAGTAAATCACAAGGAATAAACTCGTAATTTGTTGACTCGTAAAAATATGTTGTTTCTGCTAACTTATGCAAATATGAATAAGTAGAAAGACTGCAAATTATAGTAGTTGTTAAAAAATATATCTATGTGTCCCAACTGTTCATCAGTAGGATGCCTAAAATGCGTGCAATTCCACAATTGGTTTTGGCTCCATTAAATCCTATACCAACTGCAGAACATTTTAGGAGGAGCCACCCACCGTGTGAACACGGTCGCAGACAACACATTATAAGTGAGGAAAATAACCCAAAGCAAAACTAAGATGTTACTAAAAGAACTAAATGTACACGCAACTTAAATAAATAAATAATACACGCGCCCAAAATTGTATTGCGCACGCACACGTACCAATATACTTGTAACTGAAACAAAAATCCAAGTAATAAATAAGCAACGTAAGGATACGATGGTGCAATTTAAGCCTGGATTGCTAATCTCATCTCCCGCAGGGCTGCACCATACTTCTCGACGGTAAGACCATGGCAATTGACAAATTTATTAAATGACTTCTGAAGTCAATTGGTTTCAAAGCCTTGTTGTCTGAGATGTAATGAAAGTCCGAAGTTGAACAAAGACTCAAATATCGCTGTTCATTTCAGCATTGTTTGTTGCTATGAACTAAACTGCTCATTCTACAGTGCAGATTCTAGTAAGCAGAACTCTTTCAGTAATCAGAATTTTTCACACATATCAGAAAAATACATCAAGTTCTCTTAGTTTAGTTTATCACAGTAAAAACAACCTGAAACTTTTACAGCGGTTTTTGTTGTTTATTGTCAACTACAGGAACAAAGCATGTTAGAATCATTCCCCTTAGGATCAGACACGGCATAAATTATCACGACTTGTTCAGTTGTTCCTTGTTTCCTCAGCCGGTCACATGTTATAATTACTTTTGATCCAGTTAACCATATATAAAGAGGGTAAATTGAAAACAGCCACCTCATTCTGAGATGTGGTCCTTCTTTCAAATCAGAGTGCTTCAACATATAAAACTACAACAGTAAGAACCATACTTTAACTGATACTACTAGTTTTTTCATTTTTGTGTTTTATTTTAGGATTACTATCTCCGTGATATCATACGACAGCGAAACGAACAACCTGAGTTTCACAGTTTCACATTTCACTCTGACTAGCTCTTCTAATGAATTCGCATTTTTAGAATTTTTTTTAGCATTATGAAATTTCGGGCGACATGACTCGATCGAGATATCGGGCAACATGACTATAAATTTCAGGCGACATGACTCGAGATATCGGGCAACATGACTATAAATTTCAGGCAACATGACTCTGATGATGGTAAACCGTCAAATCAGTAATCAAATTCATTACACCTTAAACTGACATCCGCACAACAACACACACTAGTCTTGGAAGACGATTATGATTTTGTTTTAATTCTCAAGAAGTGATCTGCATATTTCTCTCAGTAAAAGTAAAATACAAGCTTGGTGAATGTTATGAACTCCTTCTTCTACACTGCACTATACTTGCAACTCCACAGAATCATTTTTCATAGGGGATAACTGGTTTCAAAACACACAGGGCTTAATTGTATAATCAAACTTATCATTTAATTTAGTGTCTGTAATTCTTATGCTACTGATTTCACCCCTGCATAACGAGAATCACATGTATGACAGCAATTTTATTTTATGTTTTTTTAAATCCTATTACAAAAACAGACATTTCTACATCAGAGTACTCATTAGCCAATTTATATACCAATTTCAAACATTTTATGCTCACCTAATACTATTGTTTGCAGTTATCAGTCGCCGCTGCCCCGCTATTTTGTGATTATCTTGTGATTACAACAATAACACTTCCAGTACCATCTCACATTCGTCTTCGCGAGGCTACATTTTCCCATGAAAACATGCCGGTTTCAATTCGGAAAAAGTATTGCAAAACGTGGGGCGCGTTGGGGAGCGTTTATACCTTGGCGTAGAACAAGGTTTGTGGAAATGCTTAAAACTATCTTCTACTTTCGACGGGCAATGTAATTGAAATTGTAGCTTCTCAAAAACCGGGTTGAAATTTCATGCTCTTAAGGAGGAATCTTCGTGCTCCATGTTTTAGATTGAAGTAAAGAAAATTGCCATTTTTTTCTTCACAGAAAAAATCTAACCAAGTATTAGCTTATGAAATTGACAAAAGGGATCTAAGAAAAGAACTATATCTATTGAAAGACAAAGCATATAACCTGAGAAATTTCTTGACCTTCGCCGCCATCTTGAAAAAAACACGAAAGGGCAGTTATGAGAATTCTCCCATACCCTCTCATGTTTATATCAGGATAAACAAACACAGGAAAAAAGTTTTATATTGCTTTTATAAAACAACTTTCCCGAGAAAAAAAGCAAAACTCTGGTTTAGAGCACTGATTAAAAGACAAATTCTTACCAGTCGCGAAATCTTGTACACAAAGCTTGTACGCGTATCCAAAATACGGGTTTTGTCTCGCTTAAAATGTCGGCTCAAACGAAAAGAAAATGACACAGCATGTTTCTAAAGATTTTCGAAGTTACAGCCGACGACGAAATGGGTAAATAAAGTAAACTTGTCGAGGTTTTCCACTCGAACCCTTTTCAAATTCGTACTGCGAAAACAACACAACCAAGTTTGCATACAATAAATACTCTCATGCAAAGAAGCCACTCGGCCAATCAGAGCGCGCGTATGTACTACATCTTGCACATCTTGTCAATATCGTGCAGCCAAAAGACATTTCGACGTCACATCACAACCATGTTTACAGACAATACTCTTATGCAAACACGCCTCTCGGCCAATCAGAGCGCGCGTATGTACTATATCTTGCACATCTTGTCAATATCGTGCAGCGAAAAAGACATTTCGGCGTCACATCACAACCATGTTTACTTATGCAAAGACGCCCCTCGGCCAATCAGAGCGCGCGTATGTACCACATCTTGGACATCTTGTAGATATAGTGTAGCGAAAAAGACATTTCGGCTTCACATCACAACCATGTTTACTTATGCAAAGACGCCCCTCGGCCAATCAGAGCGCGCGTATGTACCACATCTTGGACATCTTGTAGATATAGTGTAGCGAAAAAGACATTTCGGCTTCACATCACAACCATGTTTACTTAGCAAAGACGCCCCTCGGCCAATCAGAGCGCGCGTATGTACCACATCTTGGACATCTTGTAGATATAGTGTAGCGAAAAAGACATTTCGGCTTCACATCACAACCATGTTTACTTATGCAAAGACGCCCCTCGGCCAATCAGAGCGCGCGTATGTACCACATCTTGGACATCTTGTAGATATAGTGTAGCGAAAAAGACATTTCGGCTTCACATCACAACCATGTTTACTTAGCAAAGACGCCCCTCGGCCAATCAGAGCGCGCGTATGTACCACATCTTGGACATCTTGTAGATATAGTGTAGCGAAAAAGACATTTCGGCTTCACATCACAACCATGTTTACTTAGCAAAGACGCCCCTCGGCCAATCAGAGCGCGCGTGTGTACCACATCTTGGACATCTTGTAGATATAGTGTAGCGAAAAAGACATTTCGGCTTCACATCACAACCATGTTTACTTATGCAAAGACGCCCCTCGGCCAATCAGAGCGCGCGTATGTACCACATCTTGGACATAGTGTAGCGAAAAAGACATTTCGGCGTCACATCACAACCATGTTTACTTATGCAAAGACGCCCCTCGGCCAATCAGAGCGCACGAACTACAACTCAGATATTTCCCCCTGAGCCTAGCCGGCGGAAAATTCAAATTCGCGCGAAACTACAGCAACAAGAAAGTCATTTCATTTCATTTTACAGTCAACTCTCGCCTTGCGCACACCTCGCTATAACGGACACCCCGATAAAACGGACAGCAGTTAAATCCCAGGAAAAACCAAATTACAGACGTTTGACTGAAATAAACTGCCGCTATTACGGACCCTCGCTAATGAGGACACTAACTTGAGGTCCCTACAGTGTCCGCTATAAAGGGAGTTGACGGAGTTGCTTTCATCACTGATGGTCACTTGGCAAATTTGAAGAATATCTACAAGGATAAACTACAATATCCCTTCATGTAATGAAACTTCAAGGAACATGCTTATTTCAAAAGTCTATAACTTAACATAGAGGTAAGCGTGTAAATGTAAATGTACACGAAATAAGTGATTCACGTCCATAGTACTAGTTTCTGTTTAACTTATTTCTGTTTTACTTATCCATTAAAGTTTGTTTGTCGATCTGTTTGCCCTCGCCGTATTATATCAGGGAACTCTTAAAGCAACAACGACGGCGACGGCTACGAAAACCTCACTTAAACAAGAATCACTTCGTGAATTTTACCGGGGCCACTTTTGTCAATCACCTGCACCGCCAACATCTTTTGATTTTAAACCACGTTCACCTAATCTTGACTGCATCAAATTCTCAAAGGAAATAGGAGAGATCAACCGCATTGTTGAGCTGTGATTTTGCATGAAAGGTCTAATAAATTATTACTTCATGATGATCAGTGTTGTATTGAGTAGGTCCTGGATTCTTCTCAACATCTTTACTTAGTTTGAAATTCACATAATTGGTCATATGACTCACACAATTGCAAGAAAACAATGATAAATATCGACGTGCACTCTAAAAGTAGGATAATTAAATCAAGTAAAAAATTACTTGTTTTAATGTCCTCTGGGAAGCGCGGAGGAAACTTGTTTTACATTTCAAAACAATACTATGAAAACTTAAAACAAGTTAGGAAATCCTTAAAACCAGCGCAGTCCGTCTGAGTACAAGGATGCTTGAAATTAGGAAATTTGAACTGAAATTAAGTTATACTTAACTTAATTCACTAAATGGTAAAGTTTATGATAATTTACCGAGGCCAAAATAGAAATGACAGCCAAAGAACAATGGGGCTAACATATTCCCATAACAGAGGGGTTTAGGGTCAGATTTGGTCTTCATTTGCCTGATTTGTGTCCAAGAGGTAATCAGGAAAGAAATTTTGAACAACACATATAACAAGCATTGAAATATTCATGTTTATTTTTCACTCACACTATACCTAGAACCAGCAACATGCACGCAGTGCGATATCGAACAGACTTTGCAGGATGTCTAAGACCTAGTACAAATTCTTCAACAAACTGAAAGATCAACTCTTGCAACTTGCAGCAAATAAAATTAAATGTAAAATAGAAACCCAACAATATTAACAGCACACTTAAGTACGGCTACGACTTGTTTCAGAGTTTAAAGAAAACTCCATTATCAACAACTAGGAAAACCTGATCTAATATTCCTTCATCTACTGTGCCCAATACACCTTTGTCGTGCAGCGGCCATTTTGTCTCAGGAGATAAAAAAAGCTTTGTTTATGCACGGTAGCCTCGTAGAGAGTGCGAGGCTAGCCATGTATAAACAAAAGCTTTTTTATCTCCTGAGACAAAATAGTGGCCACGTGACAAAGGTCTATAGGAGCAAGGTTAGTTGGTTTCTGTTTCCTTCTTGATAATTACGTTGAAATTTGATTTACACTGGACTTACTTATCTTAAACCAACAACATGCACCCAGTGCAATATTGCACAGATTTTTTAAGAGGTTGAAGACCTACAATAATGTTACACACATTCTTCAACAAACTGGAAGATCAACTCTTGCAACTTGTTGCAACTTAAATTAAATGTAAAATATAAACCCAACAATACTAACAGCACATTCAAAGAAGCACTGTTTCGGAGTCTAAGGAAATTATCAACCACTAGGAGAACCCGATATCTACTGCACACCATAGGAAAGGTTGGCTTGATTTTGTTTCCTTCTTGATAATTACATTTACATTTGATTTAGACTTACTTATTTGGAACCAACAACAAGGACGCAGTGTTATATCCCACAGACTTTGATAATAGTAACCCGACAATACTAGCAGCGCATTTAAGTAAGAACTGTTTCAGAGTTCAATCAAACCTCCCTTATCAGCAACTAGGAAAACCTGATCTAATATTCCTTCAACTAGCTACTACCCACCAGAGGGAAGGTTAACTGGTTTTTGTTTCCTTCTTGGTAAACAGGTTGAAATTTGCTTTAAATTGGAGTTACTTATCTGGAACCAGCAACATGCATGCAGTGCGATATCGCACAGACTTTTTCGGAGGTCGAAGACCTAATACAAATTCTTCAACAAACTGAAAGATCAAATCTTGCCGCTTGTCATAACTTAAATTAAATGCGAAATAGAAACCCAACAATACTAAAAGAGCTTGTAGATAAGACTTGTTTTTGAGCTCAAAGAAAATCCCTTTATCAACAACTAGGAAAATCTGTTCTAACATTCCTTCATCTACTGCACACCATAGGCAAGGTTGGTTGGTTTTTGTTTCCTTCTTGATAACTTCGTCCACATTTGATTTAACCTGTGATGAGAAAAAAAGGTAAACGGTACAGGTATATAACTTCCGCTTAAAGGGACAGGTTCATGGTTCATGCTCATTAATCAAAATGCTGTTTTCTGCCAGCAGATGCTGAACCGTCTATGCAAGCAACATGATCATGTCATAATGTTGTCAAAGAACTAATCTTCACACTCCCCTGGCAGTCACTTTATCAACTCAGGAGCAAATAGCTGTAAAGTAATCAACCATGGAATAAAACCTCTGGCTCAACAATAAATTTAACGTTGGTAGTGTTGGCATAATCCACTAATTTTTTCTGCAATTTTAGTACTCCGCCATCCTACTTCAGGTTACTCTGAAATTCACTTCTAAATTGAAATACACTCTGAGATCACTGAGAGTGGGATTATTAACCGATAGAATTAGCATGCGCTTAACTGTGAACCTGTCCCTTTTTATTGTCACTACGTAATATTCTACAGTAAAATTATTTGGAAAGGCCACTTTATTGGGGTCTGCACTTATTGTGTTGTTGAATTTCCTTTTAACGAGTTGATAGCCAAGTAGAAGACTGATTAAGGGCTTCAGTACAAGCTGTCATTATGTTACAAATAGGTAAGGTGAGTCCTGGGACTCATCTTGTGAAAAATCAAGAGTCCCAGTTCAGAACCATTGAGTCCCAGTTCAAAAAACAAAAACCCTAAATTCCTAAATTGAAAATGCCTGGGCCTTTATCTAACCAGACATGAGATAGAGGGATAATTGGTCTGTATTACAGTTTACAGTCTGAAAAAATCATCAACCAATGCATCTTGTGCTGAAAGGCACAACAAAGATTTTAAAAGAAAAGGCTAATTAAATCTAGCGATCTGTGAAAATAATATTACATCGTACCTGCGGAAGAATGTTCAATATTGGAAGCGAACAGATCTTTTCATCCACTAAAGTAACATGTTCCATGAATGCCCCGCAAATATCATCTGACAAAATAAACATTTATTTTTGTAATTAACAGTAACCAGCAATTTAAAACACCCAATGCGCTGTGAAAAACTTACTCTTTGGCTCACTACAGCTTACAAAATATGGCGAAACAAAATGGGAATCTGTAATTTGTGGAATCATGTCAACTCTACTAATAATAATACTTAGTTGTGAAATGAATTGATTTGATAAGGTCACTTGACTATACAACAAAATTCAGGATGCAAGATAAACCTCATTAAACCTTATCAATAATTACTACAGTACAACTTTTACATGGCACAGTTCATTTTCTTTAGTTTACAAATTGATAAAATATTGTTCTGGTATCTTCCCAAATCTTGATTTTTGGCCACTATTAAATTTTACACCTACATTAGTTTCTTTTTGATTCAGTTTGCCGATTTTCAAAGTGCATCTGACAAAATGTTACATACCATGGGTGAGCTTTGTTTCATGATCATCTGGGATCAACTCATGGCTTTGAAGGCAGTTTTTTACTTTGACTGACAGACTTGTCCAATTCTTTTCCCAGCTTTCAACAGTTACAGAACCTCCATCTTTCATTTTGCAATAAAGCTCCAACTCATTCAATAGCTGAAACACAATAAATGAAAGAACAACCATTATCCTACAGTGCATCTTGTGAAAAACAACCCATCCAAAGATAGTCACTGGAATTTCTGAGAGGTGGGGGGGAAGCTTTGAAGGCCAAAAGTTTCAAAGGATTGTATAAAACAACAAAGATTGCAAACGAGAAAACGTTACATGGGAGGATTCTGAATATTTTCTGGAATGACACATTGCTGTATAAGATTTGAGGACAACTGGCAATAATATTAACCTAGTTTTTGCAATAACTGTGTATCCCCAGAAACCTGCATCACTTACAAATACCAGAGACCTTTGACCGCTCCTTAGAAAGCCACTGAAATGAATACTTTTATAAATATGCTGCTGATCAAGGGGAGAACAGTAATAACTTGTCCCTCAAAGTAGTTAGGGCAATACTTACAGTGCACTCGTGTACTTGAAAAAACGGGTAGTGGGAGATAATTTCACTGACAACACTCTTGTCAGACATCTGCTCAATGTCCTTTCTCCTAAAATCAAAGGTGTTTTGCTGGATTTCCTTTATCGCTGCGTAATTCTTCTTTTTACTCTGAACCTCGCGTAACAACTGTGCATGCAGCTCCTCAACTTCCTTTTCCCCAAACTCCACATGATCACTGCTTGACCTTTTGGTTTTCCCATGTGTTTTCCTTTTCTCATAGCCTTTAATATTTTGCAATCGTCTTTTTAACAGGAAAAGGACAGTACTCTGCCAGTTTACCAAAAAACAAACAAACAAAAACAAAAATGTCAAGAAATATTTTTTGTATTATTTTCAAATGAAAAATAATAATATATTCTGAAGTACATTTTGTGTTGCTGGAGTTGACAATGTATGTTTAGTCTCTATACTCAATTATAATCTGGATTATTCCCTCTAAAAAAGCTTCTCCTAGGCTACATCACTGGTTTGGAATGGAAGTGGTGGCTGGTCTTTTCTTTTCCATTTGGTGGCAGGGGTTGTCTAGGAAGGTTTCATCCGGAAAATTTTGAATTTGGGGTCCAGTAAAGTTAATTTTGAGCGAGTTGATGCCACTGTTTGTTATTTAGACACAAAATGGCTATAAATGTGAAGCTTATCACCTTTGATAATGGTTCAGCTGAGGCTTAAATATATCCCTGACGACTAGACAGCATTTTTGCTGGTCTCTGGACCCTTTGGAGAACGGTGTGGTGACTTTAATAAACAATTACTTACGGTTATCACAGTAGGTTTTACTTTAAACATCAGAGGCAAATACATGGACAATGTAAAATGAACAATTACCCAGTATGGATATTTCATGTTAGGTGGAAAACATGCTGGCCTTGGGTCTTTTAAAATCGGGACTTCTTGACAGATTTTAATGGCTGCTTCAACAAAGTTACTTTGACTAATACTGTCACCAGCAACGGCTTGGAGACTGGCTGCTGCATCTCGAATGAAACGCCGCAAAACTTTTTCATCGGGGTATTTCCCATCAAGGTTACATTTTCGTAATTCAGCCGAAACGTGAAATCTGTAATCCTCTTCTATGTCAATGACAGGTTCTGTGCCAGAGCCTGACTGTGACCCACCAGCCCGCTTTTCATACTGTGTACATGGCTTGGCAAAAAGTGGAGACCCCCTTCCTGATGGAGATTGTGTCCCTGGTATTGGGGATGAAGATCTTTCAGAATCTGAAGATGATGCTGTAAATCTCATTCTAGATGCAGGTCGTTGTGGTAAATTTGGATATGGAGAATCTGTCACAACCTGAATTTCTTCATGTAACCCACTAGCCCGCTTTTCACGCTGTCTGTGTGACTTGGCCAAAGGTGGAGACTCCGTGTCTGATGCACATTGTGACCCTGCTGGTATTGGGGATAACGATCTTTCGGAATCTGAAGATGATGCTGTAAATCTCGTTCTAGATGCAGGTCGTTGTGGTAAATTGGGATATGGAGAATCTGTTACAATCTGAAATTCTTCATGTAACCCACTAGACCGCTTTTCACGCTGTCTATGTGACTTGGCCAAAGGTGGAGTCTCCCTTTCTGATGTACACTGTGACCCTGCTGGTATTGGGGATAACGATCTTTCAGAATCTGAAGATGATGCTACAAACAATCTTGATGCTGTCGAAATCTGACTTTCTTCATTCCTCTGAGAATTTAAATAAAAAGCAATTTGTTGTATTTGCCTTGTGGAAAGTGGTGACAATGTCTATCAAAAACCACTGGCAGGGCTCGAAATTAAAAAATCCTCAGGTCACCTTTTGGCGACCAACTGTAGAAAAAGAGTCGCCAGATGCAATTTGTTAGTCGCCAGTTTGTATTTAAGCAATAGAAAACATCTTCTGTGTTTGCATAGCCTGATTTAAACACGAGAGGGGTTGAGAGAATTCAAGACAGTTATGCAAACCCGAGGCGAAGTCTAGGGTTTCCATAACTGTTGAGAATTCTCCTAACGCCTCGAGTGTTTATATCAGGCTATGCAAACACAGGAAAAAAGTTTTCTATTACTTTTATAAAATAACTTTCCTGAGAAAAAAAGCAAAACTCTTTGTATGGCACTGATTAAAAGAGAAATTCTTACCAGTCGTAAAGTCTTGTCCTCGAAGTCTTGCACACATAATCAGTTCTTGTTTTGTAAAAAGTTGCTTTCCAAAATATGGACTTTTTTCGCTTAAAATGTCAGCTTAAGCGTAGAAAAATTGACACCCCTTCTTTGTAACGATTTTCGAAGTTTCAGCGCACGAAGAAATGGGTAAATAAAGTAAACTTGTGGAGTTTTGAACTCGGAAAACTTTTTCAAATTCTTGCTCGCATGATTAGCGCGCGAAAAGCAGAACATCTTGACGCCACAACCATGTTTACCTACTCTCATGCAAACACTCCTCTTGGCCAATCAGAGCGCGCGTACAATCTTACTTATTTTATTAAATGTAAATGAGGCAGGTCATTAAGTACCGGGGCTTCTGATATTTAGCAAGGACGCGGAGCCGCAAAATTCAGGTAAATCTGCAAAATCCCGCAAAATTCACAAAAACACGTAAAATACCACGAAATTCGCCAGAAATCTTATCAAATACATGTCGATACAACATATTTGAAACTTATCTTGGCTTTTGGGGCTGTCTAATTGCTGTAAACTTGCAACTATATCTTGAAACTTCACCACCACAACGAGTGAACTTCGTTCCAAAACTACCAGGCAGAAATCATGTTGCAAAAAACTGGGCACTAGTCATGACATCTCTGAAAATCCCATGTAATTTGACTTTTTTTTCGCGACCTATCAAAAGCCCTGTATTATAACGCGATCCATCAGATATATTGCGGACAGAAGTCGGTATAAATTCAGCTATAAATTTGGAGGTAAACTGGCTTTGTTTATGCAATTTGGCACATTTTTTATGATGAAAGCAAAGCAAGATATGATGAAATGTTTATTTTAACTTTGGTCTTTTAATTTAAATCTAAATCATAGAGAAACCTGGTCCCCTAAGTGGCGACTACACCAGAATTTTTAATCACCAAGGAGAAAATGTTAGTCGCATTGGCGCCCGTATCAGTCGCAATTTCGAGCCCTGACTGGAGATTTAAATTACACCCAACAGTAGCCACAAACATAACAATGATAAGTTAATTGTCTATAAAAACAACCACCTTTTACTTAAGACAGTGGATGCTAACCCAGGAGTCATGTCATTATTAGATGGAACTTGATCATTTTGGTGAATGTAGTTCTGATTAGGACTGTTAATAGTTGTAGAAAGTGACCAAACTTTTGACAACCTGTGCAAAGTCATCTTCAGTGTCAATGTGAGTTGCTCCCCATCAATGAGACAAGAAAGCAAAAGAGGGAAGAAGAGAAAGCAAAAAGAATAAGTTAGGACTGCTGTGACACTTTTCAACCCAAAACTGTGCTTTCCGCACATGCGTAGAATTCCAACACCAATATTTTGCATCTGGAACAGAAGGCCCTGAAGTGCATAACCTCCAAAACTGCTTTATGGTATTAAAAATTAAGTTTTAGCTCTTCATAGCAAAACGGGGACCACTGACTCATTTTAAAACCTGTTTTCCAACTACATTCCAGGAACAAATGGGTTAATGAATTAATATTACGTTATGAACACTTACTGCATCTTCCAAATAATCCCATATTTTTTTCCTGCTCTGGAAACTGGTGGGAAAAATATCTTTCAAATCATCTCTTGTGAATTTTACAAATGTCGCTCCATCAATCTTGTTATCTGCAATGACATAATGAAGTCAAAATGAAGGCATGTTGCCAGTCACACAATGAATCACAACTGATTATTTCTAGTTGAGACATTCAGCACCGGTCATAATTTCCATGAATTTCAAGACATGGCCAATAAAGCGCGACAGAGGGGAATATGCAACTAACAAGCAACAAAATAATAATAATAGCAGTGTTCTCCTTATCAGGCAGTAACCAGTAAAATTAACTGCCTGAAACAACACTTCTTACCGCCTACAACTTAAAAATACACACGTTGCGATCCGATCCCATTATCACAAGCCACAAGAAAATGAATGAATAAATGGAAAAGTACTTAAGTTTACACAGCTTTTCTTTTTATGGACAATGCATTTTGGAAAGTAAACATTAATTGTTAAAGCCAGTAAAATTATTGGAATCAATCAATGTTTTAAATTCTCCTGTAAAGGTATCAGCAGCCGATTTGGGTAAAATAGGCCTTAAAATGAGGGAAAGCCATTTCAGAGAACTTAGCTCTTTAAGTTCACGCAAGGGTGGGGCCATGTCCTGCAATCCACCACCCACCGCCCCCAAGAAAGTACAGCTCTGGTGCATATTTTAAATTTTACTGGCTATGAATGGTCCCTTATCTGCTGAGCTACAATTTAGGGAGAACACTGATAATAGTTGGGAGGTTTAAATGAAATGGTAAATACAAGAGAGGCTGTTGTTGGACAAACCTTAGGGAAGCTGAAACAGATGGCAGGAATATTGTTATATCTAGTAAGGTTCCAAGTTGTCAACTCTTAACATTTGGGAATTCATTATCACCAATCCAGTCAATTTAGGCACTTTGCTGTTGGGTGAAAACAAAGGGCAAGGCTTTTTCTCATTTTTTTTTCACTATCCATATTTGACACAACAAGCATCCCTTTTTTCTACAAAGTCAAAAAAGCTACTGCCATACTAGCAAGCACTCCACTATTTTCTCTGGAAATCCTTTCAGCCTAAGAAAATGAGCCAAGGACTCAACACTGCGGCCAGCAAATGAGTTTAATGCAGACATGGCTTTGACGATTAAAAACAAAGTCGTTGCCATCCAGCATGTTGTCTGAAATAGGACAAAATAATGCATGTTTAACAATAGCAAACAGCAACAGTGACATCATCAAATTTAGACTCCCACTCTGCAAGCTAACATCAGACAAACAAGGTGACATGAATAGGAGGTTGTTTCAAAGTTTTTTCCATCGTGGGCTTAAAAAAGACCACAGTTTTCAGGCACGGATCTAGGATAAAGACTGACGGTTTTCCTATACAAGTGCCAAAGATGTAAGCTTCTGCGGGGATTTGGGGGCACGCACCCCCGTGAAATTTTTTGGCTTTTTACTCCCTTAAGTCACCTTCCCTGGGTTTCTGAGTCATTCAGTCAGAATATTGGCCAGATTTTAACCTGGAAAGATTTTTTTCCTTATTTACTTATGGAAAACCTAACCGAGTTTTGGAAAACGGTGGAGACAGGTGTGGCTTCGCATCTCATTCTTACAGAAAGACAAGTGATAGACTTCTGGGTTCAAATGGCTGTCTTTACAATAGGCTGTTAAGTAAGACTTAAGAGCCGCCAAGTTTTACTTGACCAAAAATTCGTGTGTGAAGGTATAAGTAAAATCTCAAGTAGCTTTGTTTTGCATCTCATTAAAGTCGGAAAGTTGAGACGATTCAAGAAAGTTTCAAGCGACTTGAAAACCATCCTTATGACCAATTTAGCTGACTTGCGGTTTCTTGAGCTTTGAGAAAGGCGAGACTTGTCAATCAATCTTAATTTTGTTGCGTGGGAAAATAACCTGAAGTAAAAAAGAATCGGTTGTGTGTGAAGCTTTATTTTACTTGAAATAATTCAAATTTACTTGTCTTGAAATATTTCTTACCTTATTTAGGCTCTAGTGTAAAGACTACCATTATGCAAGATGTTGCGATGGCTTCGCAAAACCGCAAAATGAACGCTTTAATATTTTCGAAGCTGCATTTCCCCCATTGCTTGGTGCTATCTACTTTAATCCCCCCAAAAAAGGCTAAAATGATTTCCTTTTTATACAGAAAACTTTACCTTGTATTGGCGCTTGTTCTCGTAACCACGCCACTGTTTGTTCCAGGGGGGGTTCATACGATGTAATCTACTTTTAGAAGAGTTGCGCTGCGCTAGTTTCACGTCGAATCCATATGAAGAAAAATCAGGCAAAAGGCTAAACAAAACAAAAACACAACTGGCCATCAAAATAAGAAAAAACCACAAAGAAAGGAAGGAAGGTTTAAAGAACACAGTAAACATAAACAAAAGCACAGATGGGCAAAACTGAAGGACAATAAAACGGATTGAAATTGGCCGCAAGGCGACATTGAAATTGTCTCGTGAATGTTCACAAAATGAATCGAACTGGATTGCCAGGTCATGACGCACCACCTAGAATTCCACTCGCAGTGATTTGTATATCATGCCCCCTCGGCGCTAGCAAAGCAACTTCAACAGTTTCGTCAAAATATACATCTCAAAAGTGAAAAAACTGTTCCCATACCTTGCTACGCAAGAACCTCCATCTCTTCACGTTCATCTCGCTAGCATGGGTGTGATCAGCAGGCGCGGTTGCCTATTCTTTTGTTTCTCTTCTCAGTTCGCGCCTTTTTTGGTGATCAGTGATCTCATGATTGAGTGGAACGATAAGTTAGAGATGGCTTGGCGATGTCTATTTTGTCCTGGGTTTTCGGCCTTAATGTTGGCTTCCTTGCTGACGCATTATAACTCTGAGCATGACCGTTTTCATGAAGAAAGACCTTTCCATATCCGCTGTGAAATCGATGGTTGCACAAAGGAGTACGGAAAGATAAATTCTTTCACCAAACATGTGCGCACAGTACATCGAAAATTCTTGTGGAGCACTAGTCCGAACGACACCGCAGGGGAGCCCTGTCTACTTGAAGGTATGTCTTATTATTTAAAAATCGATAGTACCTTCGCCGTAGATATTCCAGCACTAGATTGTTGTGTAGTTTCGGAAAGTAATCCATACCACAACCTACCCCCACCCCCTCCCCCCGTAAAAGCCTATTAGAAATTCCAAGAGGTAAGCGGGGGCGGGAGGCGGGGGTGTGGAAGGGCTAGAAAAAACAATCTGACGCTCAACGCTAAACTAAAATTTCCCGAGTGGATGGTGGGGACGGTTCCATCCAAAACACAAAAGGAAATAATAGATCCTTTCTAGGACAACACAACCTAATAATAATACAACATATAAAATACATGTCAGACTATGATGATGCTAGGAAGAAGGGTATTGTCACCGAAATCCATGTGGTGGTCCACTAGCTGATTAAACGAACAATGTTGCCTGTGTTTTGTACTTACAAGGTTTTCATGGAGACTTTTCCCAGGAAAGTCAGAGTGAACCAGATGAAAGTGAAGACATGGAAGATATAACTTCACTATCCAGATCTTATGTGGATATGTGTAGTGGCTTATCACATGTGTCCTGTGACTCCAACTCCAGCGATGGTGATTTTCACAGTGATGAGTCTTTAAGTGTTCTCACAAAAAAATTTCTTTGCAAAATTAGAGGAGAAAACCGCCTGACAGGAAAGGCTGTTCAAAATATTGCTATTGCAGCTGGCCATTTAATGCATCAGATGTTATCAAATATAAAAAGAAATATTGGAGAGGTTCTTCACAATGCAGATGTAGGGAGTGAGGAGGACTTCAGGAATATTGAAAGAGTTTTCAATGAAGCAGCCCAGAATGTGGAAATATTAAGGACACCATTGAGTGAAACATTCAGCAATGGAACTAATAACTACTGTGGTTTAGACAAAATTGTAAGTGATGTTCCATATACTTAGATCAATACTAAAAAGGAATAATTTTCATTGTTACCTAACAAGTGCCCAAAAGCTAAGGAGATTAAGTCCAAAAATTGAGGAGGAAGTGTGTGGATAATTAATTCACTTCAGCCTATTCACACCACAAAATACAATGGGAAGGTTGACAATATTGCACTTTTAGGGTCAAAATTTGGTTAACTGTCACTTCGGTTATTTTACTAAATGACTTTGGTGACTGTTAACTTGATTCAACTATCAAGGGATATACTATTAATTAATGTAACTATTGTTTTAGGAAACAGTGAAGTATGTGTTTGGAAAACATCGTGCAGCTGTAAAAAGAGGGAAAAAAAAGAAGATAGTGGAGGTGGAAGATGTCTTTTATTACATCCCTGTACTAAAAACAATCCAAGTACAGCTGGGTTGTAGGAAAATGTTGGACATAGTATTGGCTGGTCCAAAACAAAGTGCTGATCCAATCATACTTGAAGACTTTTCTGATGGAACATTCTTTCAAAATCATGAATTGTTTTCAAATGATGAAAGAGCTCTCCTTCTGTTATTGTACTATGATGATGTTAATTTTATCAATCCACTGACAAATAAGAATCATAAGTTGAGTTTATTTTATTATCAACTTGCAAATCTGCCTCCTGCATACAGATCAACCCTCAAGTCTATTCATCTTTTTGCTGTTTGTGAAACAAAACACCTCTCAAATCCAGAGTATGGGTTCAATAAGTTGATAGAACCTTTGGTAGAGGACATGAAAATTCTTGGCTCTGATAGAGGGTACACTTTCTCCTTACCTATTGGCAATATTAATCTCAGAGGAGGTATCTTGGCATTCTTGGCAGATACACCTGCCAGTAATAAAGCTGGTGGGTTTAAGGAAGGTGTGGGTGGAGCTAGGCGAAAATGCCGTCACTGTATGGCAAAGTATGAAGATATGCAGTGCCTTTTTATGGAAGAGGACTTCCAGCTACGCAACAAGGACAACCACATCCAACATTTGTTAAAAATGGAAGGAGCAGCTTCTGAAAACCTTAGGGAATTTTATTCCAAACATTATGGAATCAATGTAAGAACTCATTTACTTGAAGCACCCTTCTTTGATCCTTGCAACCAGCTGATTCAAGATGTAATGCATGTTTTCCTGGAAGGAGTTCTAGCCTACGAAATTAAACTTTTACTAAACTATTTCATAAATGATATTAAGTCTTTTGGACTAACCGATTTAAACAAAAGAATTCAGCAGTTTCATTATGGATATTCTAACAGTAAAAATAAGCCTTCCTTTATCTTAGATAGGGACTTGGAGAAGACTGCTTCCACAAATCTAGGACAGAGTGCTTCTCAAATGTGGCTATTATCAACTGTTCTGCCTTTCATTTTGGCAGAATTTGTTGATACCACCACAGACCACTGGAGATGCTTCATTTCAGTTATTGAAATTATGTCTCTTTGCTTCGCCCACAAGGTTTCTTTAGCAACTACTGTTTATTTAAAATGGGCTATTAAGGAACACCTTCAGTTATTTAAATCCCTCTATGGCAACACTTCTAACATTATACCCAAACAGCATTTTCTAATTCATTTGCCGTCTTTCATTTTGAAATTTGGGCCTCTTGTTCGTGCATGGTGTATGCGTTTTGAGGCAAAACATGCTTATTTTAAAGATCAGGCAAAAATTTTAAAAAATTTCAAAAATCTTCCATTGTCCTTGTCAAGGAGGTACCAGTCTTCACTATGCGCTGACTATATTAGTTTTAGCAAAGCAGATCAGGGTCCCATTTTTAGAAAAGAAATGTCATTTGGATATGCCAAAGCACTGTTTGGTGAAGAAAAGGATATTGTTGTAACAACCGTGGAGAGATTTACTGGTGTTGGCAGTCTTTGTGATGTCACTGAAATTTATTCTTTAGATTCTGTTAAGATCCATGGAACGCTCTATAAACCAGACAAGGATTCTTTTCTCAATTTTGGTAGTGAGAATGGGTTGCCAACTTTTGGTAGAATAGCAAAAATCTGGTATATTGCAAACTATGGAATTTTTTTTGCCCTTGATGCTATGGTAACATCTCATTATGATGAAGATTTTAATTCCTTTCAAGTCGAGGAACCTGTTCTTCCACAGGGATTTGAAGTTATTAGACAAGAGGACCTTAAGTTGCCATTTGTTTGTCATTCACACAAATTTGCAGATAAATTACACATCATCATTAAAGAAAGTCCACTTGCTTGGTTATAGAATTTAAAACCTAGCAAAAGGAATTGTTAAATTATCACAGTACTAAATCAGTTTGCCCTAAATCCATGAATGTTTGGAAGGATTTGTTTGCTCCTTAATTAAGTCCCATGGTCCATGGGTTTAATAAGGCAAAAATCATCACTATATATCTGACACAAAGAATAATCAGCATCAAAGACTTGTGCAAAAGAAAATGTTTACTGACTCCTTATTTAAGTTAACTAATAATATTAATAGCAAAATTGTTGTTCTGTTTTAATTTCTTTTAGCACTGTGATAATATAATAATTCATTTAGCTTTAGTCTACTGCCTATTAGTAAAATAATGTTTATGGTATAAATGCCTTTTTGTAGATCTGTAATTTTAGTTGTACAATTTGGTTCTCAATGAAAAAAAACTAACTGAAGAAAAAATAATAATGTACCATATCTCTAGATGTTATATGTACATAGGTAACAGTAGTTGTCGTTTCAGTGCGTTAATTAAGGAATTAATTAACTAGTACCTGCATCTACCTACATCTACATCTACAACTCTTCTTTAAATGGTTTGATATTAATCTGTAATTAAACAGTACATTGTTGAACCATAAACATGTAATTTCCACGTCTATGTTGTCAATTTGATATTTTTTAACCAGAGGTTATACTTCCACTTAATGAACAGTGCTTGTTGGAGATATAATCTTAATATTGAATGAAAGAATTCATATTGAATTGTTATTTTATTGAATAAAATGCAAGACTGTTGAGTTTGTTTGTGTGTTTCATGATTGAAACTATTAAGAATTTGCATTATGCAATCAATATTTTGGAGCCTTAAAAAGAAATTAAAAACAAGAACCATATAATCTTGAAATAAGAGCAATGACGCCAAATTTGAGCACTGTCTTAAAACAATACCCCATTACCTTGAAATGATTTCCCAAGTCTTAAAATGACTATAAAAACAAGAATTGCATTCTTAAAACAAGTTACTATGTTTTTGATTTAAAAAACCTACTTTTAGAGTGGTGCTTTACATTTTAGTTTCATTATCGTGTGATACTGCCTGCTAGTATAGAAAGACAACAAATAAGCTTTCTTGAGTATAGCCATTTTATTGAAGTTAATTATCTTTGGATCCCGTTTGTTATTACATTTATATCGTGCATGATAAAGTTTTCTCACCTTATTAACATAGCGATGGAGCTTTGAAGACTTCGGTATGTGAATCTTTGAAATCTTTTTGAAGACAAATTTCTTCAACATGCTATTCTTGTTATTGAGACCTCTTAGAAATAGCAGTGGAATTCTGCTCGGTTCACGAGCACGTCTAGAACGCCTTGTAGCACGTTTTTTAAGATGATATAAAGTTAGCTTTGATATAAGTGTTCGCATTGATTCTCGATAAATTTCATGATGGAAGGTTCACTCAATGTGGATAACTTTGATAAGTCGCTTATTTTCTCGTTACGTTTCACAATGGAAGGTTCACTCTTAAGCGATCGCTCGTAAATTTGTCTCTCCAAATATTCACTCTCAAGTTTTTGCTCATAAAGGCTGGGAAACGTGTCGTCCAAAAAGCTATAATCTTTCTCTTGACTCCTCCACTCGTGCTTTTCAAAATGGCGGATAAGATTTCAATGAAAGTAACGAGCCAGCGATATATCTCAGTCAGCGATATATCCCTAACAATGTAACTTTGAAAACACAGAAACGCGTTGCATTTTATGACCGGTGCCTGCCTTCGGCTAGGCCCCGGTAAAAAGTGAATTCTCGCTGCCTCAAACTTTATCGTGCTTCATGTTTAGAAGATGGCTTCCCTTCGCAATTGCAGGGAACTAAGCTTAAGTCGTTCATGCAAAACTATGTCGGAAAAAATTATGAAATTAATAATTATGTTTTGATCTTGTGTTACAGCTGTGTGTTACACTATTTCTCTCGGTATCCCGTCATTTCGTTTCATGGTCAGATCGTTCCGATCAATAGACAGATCGTTCCAGGAAATAGTCAGTTCGTTCCACAAAAATGTCATTTCATTCCACGTATATTATATATTTTTTCTAGAAGTATAAATGTGATCTGAGTACAGAGTAGCGATCAGAACATAGATGAAAGTATTTTCAGAACTATTTAGATTTTAGTAAACATAATTGAAAGCGTGGTATGTTAATTTCACTGTGCATTGAAGAATGATGTGAAAACTTAATTATATTCACACAAATAGGAAGAGCTACGTAAATATTTGTGAAACGCAAAGTTGTTGTTCGTGAACTCGTGATGAGATCCCCCACTTGCCCCTCCTCGAGAATGGAACGATCTGATCAAGGAACAGCAATTTGAAAACACTATAAGTTTAAAAATTCTTGAAATTGACTACAAAATTACGCCCGGTTCAGACGCCGTACTTTTCATGAGCCGAACCTAATACATTGAATTAAGTACATGAAAAGTTCGGCGTCTGAATCAATTAGGAACGCCTGTTTCAATTGGAACGACTCAGCCGTTCTTTTCGCCTAGCCGGGGCGGGAATTTCGCCTTTGGATCGACTTTGGAACGCCTTTGATTCAGACGCCGAACTTTTCATGTACCGAACCAAATGCAGAAATTCTTATAACGTATTTTGTAAGCAGTTTGACCGAAATGCGCATTTTTCGCCTTCTGAATTTAGTTCGGCTGGAATTAAGATCGGCGTCTGAATCACTTTAGCCGGTCTAAATAATTTGGGTCGGCCTTAATTCGAATTAGGTTCGGCTCATGAAAAGTTCGGCGTCTGAACCGGGCCTTAGAGTACTCTGTGCCAGCGCTCGGCTGCAGAATTTGCCCATGAAAACAGGGCTGCAGTTTCTTATGTTTCCTATAACTGAATGCCGATGCTTTATTCCTTGCATCTTGTCTCCAACTTGTGGCCTTTACGCTCACTTTAAGTATTGAATGGAACTTGCGATACCCCACTATTTTTCAAGAAGATGAAAGACTATTAGCAGTCTAAAAGCACAACTAAATCTCACTTTTGTGTTTTCGCATGATTTTTTAAGTTCTCAACTGTACGGCCAGTCATCACCAGAACAGCAGATCGCAGGCTTGAAGATATGGATGCTAATCATACACAAGCAGCCACTAGCTATCCTGAGGATTATGACACCACAGAAAATTTTAGCCTCCTGAAGGAATTACAAAAGGTAAATTATTTATAAACTTCCCATCCAACCAAATTCAGTAGTATCTGTCACTAGTTGGGAAAGATCAGAGGAATTAAACAGCAGCCATGCAAAGACATGCTAAAAGTAAATCCAAACTTGAAGAACTGTTACCAGCAAGAAAATGGCACAAACATTTGAATGGTTTCAATTCCTCTGGTTTGCTGGTTGCTTTATACAGTAACAATATTGGAAAAAACTAATCATTTAACTTTGAACTAATATTTGGGAAATGTGTCTCTAGCTGTGTCTGAGAAGTGTCTTTTGTAGCAAAAAATTAAGCTTTTTTAAATGAACTTTATATTTTTAAAAAGTTTTACACTTAACCTTTTAAGCCTCAATATCTAAATACAAATTCTCCAGACTGATTTGCATACGTCTGTATTTCCCTTTGGTGATATTTATTATCAACTCTCTTAAACTTTCCTGGATTGTATATTGGTAGAAAAACATTGACGTCGGTCACTCTTGGGGCTAAAAAGAGTTAACAAAATGATTATATTTTAATTCCTAGAAAGATGAGATCCAGCAACTCTGCCTACTGCAGCAAGAGCAAGCTCAAACTGCTTCTCTAAGTTCAACACTAGGGAATCAACTAAGCTGTGCTTACTCAATGTTACAAGAAAAGGACAAACAACTAGCAGAAAAGGACAGACAGTTGGAAGAAAAAGACAGACAACTAGCAGAAAAGGATAGACAGTTTGAAGAGATGATCAGAAAATGGCAAGAAACTGCAGTCAGAAATCGGCAAGAAGTGCTAAGACAACTGCATGAAAGAGACGTCATGATCAAGCAGAGGGCAGAAAGGTGGAATAAGATAGCATGCAGTGTTCGCAGAGAGCAAGCGTTGGCCAGTGGATCTTCGGGGATTGTTCATAAGGGAACAATCCCAGTAGCCATAAAAGAACTAAGAGCCATTAACCCTGAAAATTTAAAGCTTTTTCAGCGTGAAATTGATGCAGCATTCTTTTGCCACCATCCTAACATTGTGGAGTTTTTAGGTGCCACGAACAATCTGCATCATGGCTCCTATATTGTCATGGAACTCATGGATTGTAATCTCCGTGATTTTATAAAACATGAAAATTACCAACTACCGCAGAAGATCATTGTAAGTTTTGCCTTGGACATTGCAAAAGGATTGTCCTATTTGCATGGACATAATCCTCCTATACTACACCGGGATCTCAAAACCGACAACATCCTGCTGAAAAGAGGAACTGCTAAAATAGGCGACTTAGGTTCCGCAAAGGTTCAACAAGATAGCATGACCCCTTATCGTGGAACTTTACCCTATACTGCCCCCGAGGTGTTAAACAGCAACATTCAGACACCAAAGGTTAGCAACACTTTTCTTGTTTCCTCTCCTTCTCTTTATTTTCTCAGTTTCTTTTTTCTTTTTCGTATAGTGTTATCTTTTTCTTTACTGAAATGGCACAGCCCTTCAAGGATTCTTTTGTCTCCTGATGGTAATACTCATCAAGGACAAATGATTTTACAGCCGTGATTGCTATAACAAGTACAAAAAAAAACAAGGTTCTGTTGAGATATATAAAAAATTAAGATTTAGTCAGGGGTTTCAATAAATTCAAGTAGCCAGTAGGTTTGAATCCTCTGGTGACCGCGATTGTATCAATGAGGGGCAATCAGTTTCCCTTTTCTAGAGGTGTCTGGTGCCATGCTTCCGCAGAAAATTTTGAAGCTTTAAAGCCCTAAAATGCAATTTCCAGCCTTCTGGGGACTAAATTGAGTACAAAAGTAAAAGAGCTATTTGGTTTTTTTGTTCTTATTGGTAATTAGCATACTTGTTAAGCATAACGTACCTGAAGAACCAGTGCGCCTTTAAGAACACATCTGATTTTATCATGATATATTTTTTGTTTATGACCCATTATTAAAACTACAATTGGAACCTCTATTCAGAAGACACCTTCAGAACCAAGGTACATGTAAGTGTCCCGTGAATAGAGGTTGGACTGGGGGTGTGTTAACAATTAACTGATAACGAAAAGCACATATGGCATTAGTTAGTACATGTGCAGGATTCAATACCAGGGCTATAAAAGCTAGATGTAAACTAGTAGTCACTTAGAGCATCTTGATTGCATGAGCAGCCCCCTGACTCACCTCAAATCTAAATTTGCTTTTCATTAGTTGATGTGAGTATAATAAACTATTGTATCAAAAAATCCTCAATTCTTGTTTTACAACTTCTTTAGGTATTGTGATGTAAAGAAGGTATCAGAATATCGCCCTTTTCTTTTAATTTTCCAACTGGACCCTTTCTGTGATTTCTCTTTGATTTCAGATGGATGTCTGGAGCTATGGTCTTGTTGTCCAAGAAATGGCAATAGGTAAGCGACCCGATCCTTGCAAACTGTCAGAACAGGTTCAACAGGTAACTTGTCCAAAGCTAAAAGAACTGGTGACTGCCTGTACCGAGATCCAGCTACCCCAACGACCTTCCATGCAAGTGGTTGTCAGCGTCCTTAAGGAGAGGTTTACTGAATAGTAACGTTAGAAATCTTGACATAATGATGGCAAGAAGGTGCTTCACACTTCCATAGTGCAGAGTGGTGATGTTGGTTTTGTTATCAAAGTATTCAAGCTTGGTGAGATGATGAAAGATGAAAAGCACCTGCAAAGCATCAAAACTGTCCAAGTTACAGTTTATTTCTTTAGCAACAGTGTTAGATTTTGCAACTTAATTTTTATTCCCTCAAGGGCCAGTGATAAGTTTTTAGTAAAATTACTAGAGGCTAGTAAATAGTATTTATTATTCATTCAAAACATTTCCCCAATTCTGATTGGCTATTAGCACATGCATAATTCACCATAACCAGTTACTGATGACCAAATTTGGAGGAATTTTGTGTTTAACGAGGAAATGACGTGGTGGATGAGTGGGTGGGTGGGTGGATGGGTGGATGGGTGGGTGGATGGATGGGTGGGTGGATGGATGGATGGATGGATGGATGGATGGATAGATAGATACTTTATTATAAACACCATTGCAGCCATAGGCTGAATTACGGGATATTTACAAATACTGATGATAACAAAGAGAAAATAAGAAAATTATCTACATCTTATAGACATGGCTAAAAATAAAACTTTGCTTCAAACGCTCGGTTTTACATAGGGGGAGAGTGAAATCACTTTTGCGTCTCAGTGCATATTTACAACTCTTCCATTGGGGGAGGAGGCTATGGAGACTGTGGGTGGGGTTACAGACGATCTCGTCAAACAGATCGATTGAAATCTTTTCTCTCCTCTCATGAAGTTTCGGTAGGCCAACTGTTTCTAGTGCTACACTATATGACAGGTCAGGATAGACGATTCTGAAAGCCGTTCTTTGGATCCGTTCCAAATCTTCACCGATGTAGTTTGGTAGAGACCGATGGAATACAGGACTTGCGTATTCCAGGACGGGCCTAATACATGTCACATAGAATTGCACCAGTTCACTTGGTGCTACTCCGGATCTCTTGAGTTGACGTAAGTTGAGTGTGTTATCCACCTCGGCCGATAACACCCTCCTCGATCTGCTTAATTCTTCATATCCTACTGAGCCTCATTCATTAATTGCTAAATATTCATATACAGCATAAGTGTAAAAGTACTGTTTCTATGAAGATTGGTAGGGAAACGCAAGGATACCTCTTACTGGTTTATATGCACTTGAGGTGAGTACAGACTTTAAAAACAGGGGAACAAGACCTAAAGAACCTGTTAGGCCAAAATTTGTCAGGTTAATATTAGGCCCCCTCTAATTACAAGAACCTATTTAGCTTAAAATTTGAAACAGGTTCTTATTTTCTAAAATTTATTTTAAAAAATTCTGAACACTTGGGCAAATAAGATAAGTCAACATTCAGCATCTTCTTTGGGGACATTGTATCTTTATCCCTGTATAGTGCAGTGCAAATTTACTTATTTCATAAGAAAACGGTGACATCATTATGCACTTTTATGATAAAACGTGAACTGTTCATTGCTATAGTCAAAGTCGAATTGCTGTAGGGTTAGTTTTAGTGTTTTTACTTATGGAATGATGAAATGGAGCTTAAACGGCATCCAAGTGGGGTTACAAGAACTAGAATTAGAGTTATTGAAGTAAATTTCACTTAAATTTTGACCAGGGCAAAGGAAATTTAGTTTGAGTTAGCGGGGCATTCAAGTTATCCGAGTTTGAGTTAATCGAGTAAAAATGGCTGAGAAGTGGGGTGAAATCCTAGGGAAATATAACTTAGTTTGAGTAAGCGGGAAGTTCGAGTTATCTGAGTTTGAGTTATCAAGGTTTTACTGTAAAAAATACAAAGAGCTGTCATAAAACACACTAAAATAGATAGAAAGATTGGCTGTTGGAAGAGAACAATTTGCTACATGAAAGTTGATCGTATTGCTATGCTCTAAGTACGGTAAAAACCCACAACTAAGAACCTGCATTTTCCCAAGTTAGCCTAAATAGGTTCTTACATAAATTAGCTTGCATAGCATAGCAGGCACTTGGAAGTAGTGGAGGCAAAAAAGAACAAGCACGCAGCCTATACATAAATGGTATAAATTTGTACACTGTTGCACAAATCTAGGCTATTTATGTTTTTAAATAGTGTTATTATTTTCTGAAAGGAAAAAATACCTTATCTAACTATCAATAATTTGTTAACAGTGGCAAATTGAATATTAATCGATCCCAATAAGTCGAACAGTTTTTTGTTTCCCTTCAGAGCTCAGGTTACAGGACTTCTACGGTACTTTTGTTTATTAGTCCATTGTGGTGTAGTGTCATCAGGTTTTATGTTCCAAGTGTTAGTTTTCCTTTTTATTCTATTTTAAAAGTTGTATTTAGGTAAAGTTTTCATGATTATTAATAAAGGCTTAGTCCCAATCCTGTGTGTTGGTTGTATGGTTTAGAAGGAAGTGAATTGGAAGTGAAATACATTGTTATCATATCCAAGGCCATACAATAATATTACTTAAAACTGAACGTCTCTAATATGATGGCAGCCTCCAACATAGACATTCTCAAGGCATCATCAGAAGTTATGCAGGACAAAGTCGAAAGAATTTTTAACTGTAAAGGAGGCTACACATGTACATGTTAATGCAATCTGTGCATTATTTTTAAAAACGCTGCCATTGTCATTTTGTGACCTATATTAAACACTGTTTTCTGTCTTATTAAGGTTACCAATATCATACCAACAGTTTGGCTATTCTGCTAGAGGCAAAGTTCTTAATCAGTAGCTACATGTAACTTACAACTCTATACCAAAGTCTGACCTATACTTTAACCTTTCAATAACAGAGTTACATGTAGTAGTAGTAATAGCACATCCTCTTTCCATAATGTGAGCTTCCAGTGATACAATTTTTATCCAAAAAATACTGTTTTTGAATCCTTCAATTTTATCTTCTCTCCAGCTTCTTGAATTTGGCTTCTGCAATAAAAAAAGGTAAAAATTTTTAACCACTCTTATAGGACAATACTACATTGTGTTAAAAACAAGACCAATTAAATTGATTCAGATACTGACCTTTATCTCAGCCAAACAAAATTCAAAAGGGAAAAAACTGATGCTCATTTTTCAACAATACATTATACATTTAATTTTGGTTTGGCTCATGTTTGAAGTTCAGTGTCTGAGTCAATGCTTGTTGAATAAACTTTTTCAACATGGCACATTTGATTTCACTTTCATTGAAAGCCTTTGTGATGTGCTATTGTTTTCATGAGCCAATAAAAACTCTCCCTTTTTGACCCCTGTCAAATGACTGTCAAATCGTGGTCCTGCACTTGTTTCCAGTCCCCCAAACAGGAAGCCATAAAATAGACGTCTTATTAGCAGACAAGTTTTCAAAACCAAAAATTGCAATCCATTTCAATCTTCTTCAAGTCTACAGGTCCATCTGTGCCTCATTTTCTAATTGCTGTGCTATTTATACCTTCTCTTCGTTTTTTAATGTTTTTTTAATGGTGGCAGTTTAACTGTTTGAATTTTGATGCATTTTTAATGCTTAATGAAGTCTTCATAAAATAGGAATTTCAGACCAGCAAACCTGATGCACCAAAAAATTTAAAAATTCATACATAGTCCAAGATACAGCATGAACACCCTCAGCCATGTCAAAGATGAGCATTTAGTTGCATAAATTCATGCAAAGTAATTCACATTATTACTGGTATGCAAAATATTGCACTGCAGGTTTTCTTGATTGCAAAGTCATACACGACAATAGACTTAGTGTTTGTTTTTTAAAAATACAAACCTAATCTCTTGGAATAAGCATCTAGTCTGTATGCAGCTTGTTCAAGGCTGGCAACACTTTCTTCCACCTTGTCAATCTGCTCCAAATATGGCTCCAGACTTTTATCTTCAAAGAAATATTACAAAAAATTAACATTAGCCATGGAAAACAATTTTTTTGTAGTAAAAAAGCATATTTCGAGTTAAAAATGTGAAAACTACAGCACAAATGTTGTTCTTATTATAGAATGATGTGCATTACAAACAATAGAACCCATCAATGCAACCATCTTTGGGCTGGAAAATCCAGGTCATAATAATGAGTTGGTCGTAAAAAAATTATACAGGGTTATCAAAATAATAATGAAAAATGACTCGGTACTTTTTACGTTTGGGGGAAAAGAATATGGTTGTATTTATGAGGTGAAGCTGTTGCATTAATGAGGTGGTTGTATAAACAGGGTGGTTGTAAGGTAGGTTCTACTGTATAATAGTGAAGGAGATTTTGAAAACCTTACGACAAAATAAAATTCCAACGGTCAACATGGCTTTAAAACAGCAAAATAAGACTAGATGAAACAGTGACACAATAATGATAAAGATGGTTTAAATACTAACAAGGACATGGCCTACTTCACAAAACACAAAACAACCATATTTGAAATTCAGACCAGGGACATACGTTAAACCCCGCCCCCGTAAACTCCCCCCTAAGAGAGTCTCATATTTGGATTGAGTTTGTTGTTGGTTCTCTCCTTTGCTCAGAAGTTTTTTTGTTTTTGTTTTTGTTTTTGGTCCTCTGGTTTTCCTGGCCCCTCAAATTATGGCCATATGCACAAACGTTGGTGACCACCTTTTTGTAAAAAATGGACTTACAATACATTTACTGAACATTACAGCTTCTCTAAACTCGTGTATAAAAACTTGATTTTTGGCGAGGTTGCTTTGCAATCATTGAGTATTACAGAGAGAACATATTTTCTGCATAAAGCTTTGATTTAAAGAAATTATTTTGTTGTTAACAAAATGTAGGGTAGTTAAAAGAAGCAATTTTGCCCTACTATTTACCAAAAATTATGAAGTTTCAATCTCACTTAACTCTACAATATTAATAAAAACCATACGGACCAGAATAGACAAAGCTTTTCAAGATGCACATTTACCAAAGTTTCTCCTAGGCTTAAAATTTATTGCTGCATTTTCATGGTTATTAAATGAAAAACACCTTTTTAGCATTAGAAAATACCATAATTTTTAATGCACCACATTCCCAATGCACGATACATAACTGTGCATAGAGGTTCAATTATTGTTCTTTGTCATTTCGTGCATTGTCCCTTTGTCCTTGAGGTGCCATTTAAGCACAATAATCATTTAGGCTCACAGAGAGAAACATGTTAACACCTTTAGAACAGAATGTACTCATAAATTCAACCCTTGAAGTTGAAAAATAATGCTTCATTAATACAAAACTGCCTTTCTTACAAGTTTAAATATCCCAGTTTATTGTTATTCATTATTTCTCTTTTCAACACCATAGTTTTTCCTCAGATGATATATCAATGATACATTGTTTGAAGAAGGCTTGATGAAGGCATGGGTAAAGCTCAATAGAGGTACCATGAAGGCACGATCTATGCACCATCAATGAAATACAGGCTCGATGTATGTTTATTGGCTTCTTATGCACAATGCACGATGACAAAATTTGATCTATTTTGTTACGGCTGTGATCACCAACATGAACAAATCTTATACATACGTACATACCCTTAACTTACATTTCTTATCCAGTTCCTCCATGGCTGTGATGAGAGTCTTGGTAGTGTTGGACATTTCACTGTACTTTGTGACTGTCATTTTATTCAATTTCTCTAGAAGAACGTAGTCCTCTAGTGAACCTGAAATTTGCAAAAACAAAAGGAGCCTTAAATACAGGGTTCCTATTCTTTCGAGTTCTTCAAATTCCATGACTTTCCATGACTTTTTTCATGACCTTTTCTAGTTTTCCATGACCTTAAGTTTATTTGTAACTTTATTTGATTTACCACAAAATACAAATAATGACCACTTTTGAAAATTTTCAGAACTCTACTTTTAGCATATTTTTTAACCTCACACGCTGGTATCCACCAAACTGCATGTCATTCTCGCTGTATAATTACTCCTCTTTATCTTATATTATCCTTGCTTTATCATCTGTAGTAACTAATCTACCAAACAAAACTTTAATTTTCAATGACTTTCAAGGACCGAAAATTAAATTCCACGACTTTCCAGGCCTTGAAAATGAAATTCTTAAATTCCATGACTAGCCAGGTTTTCCATGACCTGTACGTTTTATACGAACCCTGCTTTATCAATTGTGTCAAAAAACTTGGTCAAATCAGTTTACAAATGAATAATTTAAGAGGCCAGGCATTCTAAATTGCTCGTTAAATTTTGCACCGTATAAAATAAACAAAAATATCCAATGGAACAAGTTTTATTCTACCTACCAGCCAGTTCCCCCTTCAAATACTCGGTTATCTTATCGAACGCCTCTCTACAACACTCTTTTAAAGACATCACTTCTCCGCGGGGAACATTCGTTTTTTCCATTCCAACGGGTCCTTCTGACACGGACTTAGAAGAAGCATGTTCTGGATCTTTTGTTGTGTCCATATCACTGCTGACAACCTCGTGATGTTGTATCGAACTTGGCTGCACATTTTGCTCTGTGGTCTCCGCCATATTGGACTGAGTTTTAAGCCCAGGCTCTACTCCAACTTTTGAGCACAGGTAGCCCAAACTGGCTGTGCATTTACACATCATAAATACACCTTGTTTTGCGCTCCTAGATTTCGTAACCTTTGTTTTAGTTTTCGCTGGGTGTTTTAGTTGTCCAATAGAAACTGAAGACAAAATTCGGCGGGGAGGGGGGGCGGTAATACTAAAAATGCAAAATAAATTTGATAATAAGAATTCTGTGGGGAAACATACTGAACTTTCAGTCTTGCAACAGATAAAATTGGGGCAGTGCAAAATGCAGACTGCGGTTTTAATAGTATAACCCAGGATTAAACAGTTGTAAATAATTTATTTCTTAATGTATTTTATTATCAGGAGATAAACTAGAAAGGGATAACCTCTTTTATCTCCTTTTCACTTATTATTTATTTTCTAGTTATTATTTATTATTAAGCAAAATTTCAAGTAAGGTTTTCTTGTCTAGAAACATGCAAATCGAGCTTACAGCCTTTACTCCAGGGTAAGGTAATGATAACACAAAACAGTGCCGGATGCAGGCCTTCAGATAAATAAAGGGGGGTGGGGCTGGGGGGATCATCCCTGGAGACCTTTAGAAAAAGAGGAGGCCTGGTCTCCCAAAAAAATTTTTTGGGCCCTTCGGTCCTCAGTTTGGTCTAAAACTAAAGGGGGACCCAGGCCCCCTGGACCCCTCCCGTGAAATGTTACTCGAAGCAATGTATAGAAAGGTAAAATCCAAAAATGGAACAAAATTGTAATCATGGATTAGCGCTAACCGGCCTTTCAGGCACGGGGCCCTGACTCGTGACCTCTTATCTGGGCTCCTTTATTGTTGATCACCTACTATACACTATTATGTTGTGGTTCAATTTTAACCTGGGTTTAAATTTTATTTTGTTTCAAACTCATTATCATGTCATTATTATGCATTACCCTACCCAAAAACAAAGGAAAACAAAAGTTAAACAAGGGATGAAATTAAATCACTACATATAGATTACACATGCATTTTGGGTATTCAATTGTGCCAGCAGCAGCCACTGAAACCAAAAAAAAAACTGAACAAAAAAATTAATATCCTTTGGGCGAGAAGCCAATGAGCATTAGCAATAACAAAAACGGCCACCAGACTATTGGCCACAGTTAAGCATAAACATATTTCTCAGGGTTTTTCCCTTGGGGTCTAAAGGCAACTTTGAGACCCCTGCTTATAGGAAAGCCTGCACAACAACAACTGTCTTGAGGATGCTCAGGTGAGATAGAAACAAACTCATGCAAAAATAAACACTTCTGATTTTCATGAGAACTGATATTTATTTCTAATAAGATGTTTTTCGCACTATAATTATGATAACAATTATTATTAAACTTTACTCCAGAGAATTGTGTTCCATTCAAATTTGGTCTTATTCCGTGCATATCTACATATAGTTTATACAAAAACAAAGGGTTCAGTTCCCCTGAGACTTATTGGGAAAACAAAACGTACAAGCTAAAGACGTCTATTAATTTTGAGACATCTCATTTCTCTTCTGTCCCTTTCCTAGAATAAACCATGACCATGGCTCTTGCTCTGTGAAAGGCGGCATTAACTGATAGTTAATTATGCCGCCTGCCACAAGTAAATAACTGACAATCAATTTCTATAAGACTATTACGAAATAACAATAGAAAAAAAACTTGATTTTCTTAGATATTTCTTCTGTGTGCCACCAACCAATTTTATGTCACAGGTACCTTGTTCTTTTTACGGGACATTAATTTTCCTATGAATAATATTATTTCTAATACTGTCGGTAACTTAAAAAAGAATACTCATGTCTAAGATGTTCAAAGGCAAACTTTTTTTTAGAAAATAAAAGAAAGCCCATGACAGCTGTCCCTTGTAGACTTTGTCTAACCATCATGTAGCCAGACCCACACATGAAACTATTGCCCTTCATTATTATAAAGTTGTGTCAGGAAAACATGGAGCCATGAAGCATTTCCACTCTGAACTCTTGATCTTGTTTCTTAATCTGCAAGAGAAAATCACTCTTTAAATAATAGCAAAACATGCTCCCTTATACTTGCAGAAGTCAGTATGCATGGTAAGGAATTCACTACTTTTGAATCCCCCATAATACACTTTGTTTGCCTCCTAAATTTTGCAAAAGTCATTGCTTTCACATGACTTGTTCTTCCAAATATACGCAAGACTCTTTTCCACCCAGGTCTGATTAACTTTAGTGTATTCAACTATAGTACATTTATGTCAATAAGATAAATTAGTATTTTATCTGTGCCTGACCCGCCTTGATCAGTGTTGGGGCTACTTTGAGGGTCAGCACTATCTTACAAACTTGTATGTGAAGTAAATAAAGGTTGTTGTTGTTGTTCTTTGACTGTATTCTAGCTGCAGCCTGCAGCCCCTTGCTCCCACGCAACTAGAAAATTAATCTTCAGTTTTCTCACTGAACTCAAATACTGTGCATCCTTCATGCAAAATGTGGGGGGGAGGAGGGGCAAATAGAGTGTATGATACAGGATTCCAAAATAGAAAATGGTCAGTGTATTGGACTTCTGAATGTTTTCACTGTTGCTTTGTTCTCTAAAATAATCCCATTTGAGGGCTATCACTAAGGCAATGTTCACACTGCATTGCATACTGGATAGCTTTTGCGCTGGAACAAAAGCCATACTGGATAAGGCTTCTGTTCGCACATAAAATATTATATAAGAACAGTGATTTTGGCACAATTTCTGCAATGGTGCGAATCAGCACCATGCCCATCTCTAAAGCAGAGGTATATCGAATAGGTGTTAACACTATACCTGATACACTGTAGGCTTTTCAACACATGAGAATTCAAATTTTGATCTTAAGGTTTAAAGGGTTAACTGGGGTTAGATTACATCTGCGACGCAGGATAACTAGAGACAAAAGCCTAAGATTTCTAGTTGCCAGGTAAATGTAATTAGTAGGTGGGGACATCTCTTGGTTCTATTTTTATTCAGTGTCCCGGACTATAAAAAAGCTAGGGGTCATGCGTATGGCACCCTGCAGAGTATTCAATAACGTTTTAAGTAGGTGACATAAGGTTTGGAGTAGGTGGAGACGGAAAAAACTCGCTCCTTGGAGCGAGTTTTAAGGGAATAATTTTGAAATCTGGGCCTCTTAGAATGCATTTCCACCATTCTGGAGCAGACATCATTAAATTTTGGCTTTTTTATTCCGTGACAGCACATGGATAATCTATTTTTTTTAAATTTATTTCTTGTTGCCAATAGCTATGAACCATTGGCTGTTTCAGTATCTGTTTAATTTTAAAGCACGTTATTTGTAAAAACTGGGGTAATTTCCAAAGAAAAGTAGGCCACGAGTTCATGTGAAATAGCCGGTGAACTTCGTCATCTGCCAGCTCCTATTAAATACCCTGACTCTGAGTACCAAAGGGTTTTTTCGGATCATTATACATTTCTGGCAAACTGCCCACCTACCCTCTGCTAAGCCAACATTTTGCCCTGGGGAGAGGTAGGCGGGAATAGAGTTTGGTGGATGAACATCACTGGTACCCAGGGTATGCCCATAGTTGCCAGAGAAAATCCCTGGCCCAGGCTCTTGTTGAATTACCTGCCAGTAACAATAGAGTCTCAATAATTTTTTCACTGATATCTGTTGTAGCTTGAGCTGCTTAGAAATCCTGAACTTCCAAGTTAAAAACCATGCAACATAGCTCCCTAGCAAACTTTCCCATACAATGGTAACTTTTTTGGTCTTCTGATGAATTTTTAATCCATACCTTCAGATTTTTCATCTCCTCGTAATCAGGATCATCTGTGGGCAGCTCATGTCTGCAAAGAGGGCAGCTGTTTGTCTAAAACATAATCACAATAGCTCTAATTAATTCAAGGTTCATTCATGGTTCCACTGTCATGGTCACTGTAATCCCGGGGGGGGGGATGATCTGGATTTCAAGTGACAGGGATGATCCAAGGATTTTTTGGGGTAGGAAAATTTTGGCAAGTATTTTTTTGGGTATTCAAAACTTATGTTTCTCTTTTCATGTTATATCATTTAAAGTTTTCTGGAAATTTTATGTCTAGGAAATTCGGCAAGGGATTTTTGGGGGCTTAAATTTTGGTCCAGGGATTTTTTGGGGGTTTCTTTGGAAGCCCTAGGGATTTTTTTTTTTGGTTTTGATTTTTGCCCCCATTCAATCATCCCCATCACTTGAAATCTGGAGTACCCCCCTGATATATATTTTTTTTATTTCACTTTTTGGAAGAACACTTTTTATTACATGTAAGATATAAATTATGGCTGATTCTGTGGCCAGGGAAGATAAAGCAAATTCTGTGTTCTGATTAGCTACCCAAGCAGGCAAGATGGCCATGGTCCAGCACGAAAAAAGTTATCTTTGCAATATAATCAGATCCTTTAGTGATCAAGGTTTTTTGGTCAAGATGGCTAGATAACAATATTCACCGAAATGGAGGTGGGTAGTCCTGGATATTTACCAAACTGCGAAGCAGTGAGGTAAATATCCACGACTAGCCACCGACACTGAGGTGAATAATTGTTTTAGTATATACTAAAACAGTGAGATAATTGAGCACAAAAATGATGATTTTTAACTCAAATACTGTTGCCAACGATTACAATTTTGGCGCGTAATGACCGGGCGGCCGCGGCCGTCGCTTTTTCTTGCCGACAATTAAAACTTTTGAAGGCATTTGTTTAGCTCTTGCGGGGAAATTTCTTCAAAAGGAGTTTTAAATTCTTTTTGTTTTAAAATCATTCTATAAAAAAATATTATTAAATTTAGTTTTAAGCTTATTTATGAACAACCCAACTAAACAAAGTAACGCAAGACTTAAACTTAATTTGCATTTGTAAACAAAAAACTTCTTCACCGGTTTTATCGATAAATTCGTGTCAAAAAGACAAAGCTTTACCTGTTAAAACTTCCAATCCGAACTTCGTCACCTTCTTCGTGTATTTCGGAAACAGCTTGCTTGATTAGTTGTGAAATTTCTTTGTTTGTTTACGGCAGCAAACCGGGAAGGCATTTTGCTCGCAACTTACGCGAGTTTGGCGTCGCTTGCTCGGAGGAACTGGAGGTGAATCAGTGAATAGTGCAGGATATTCACTGATTGAGTAGCCAATCAGAGCGCGCGAAAAACACTATCCACTGTTTTAGTACATACTAAACACGAATATGGCCTGCTTTTGTGTTCACTGATATTGACTATCCATCTCAAGACAATAAAACACAACTTAGAAAGAACTTCACCAATACCCTTAAGGCAGTAACACGTACCCATGCATAGGTGGTGGAGCAGGGGGGCAGGGGGATCCAAAGCCCCCTCAAACAAAAATTTGGACAGGCAGAGCTTTTACAGATGCTTTTACAGATGTATTTGACAATACCAGTGACATCAGCGACTTCAGAGAGCACATTTTCTGCCCTCAGACTACTCAAGAACTACCTAAGAAGCACCATGAAGCAGGACTGCCTGAACAACTGCCTACTGATGCATTGCCCCAAATTGAGAACTGGCATACTATACACTACTAAGGTTGCAAAGAGGTTTGCTTGCGCCAACGAACAATGCAAAGGGCATTTTGGAAAATTTATGTAGGGGTATGCACATGGCCGAGTGGAAGAACAGTCCCCCCCACGTTTCAAAACACTCCGCTGCCTCTGACATGTGTCGCTCAAAGTTATTATTACCTTGGACAACCAGGGTAAAATGCAGCCTTGGTGGAACATATGTTCACAGGGAAGTTGCTTGACATTATCTCCAATCTAATAAAATAATAGGTAGAAAATTGCAGTTCTTCAAACAAATCTAGTCAACAACTGCATTACTGATCGATGGTAATAACATGAAGCATAATAATATTATCTCTAGGTATCCGAAGGATAAAAAAAATTCTACGGATTTGATAATTTTGTTTGATTAATCGACACCTTCATGGAAGATGGGTGCAGCACAAATTAATTAATTATATCATTATGGCATAAAACAAGCGATACAAGGAGGTAACATGAAGGATGGTGTTAAAGAATTCAATAATAGTAAAATCAGAAAGTAATGTGATGTTATTTTAAAGTGGATATATAAACCAATTTATTCACTCACTTCATATTCTGCTTGACAAATTGGACACGAACAGCCTTTATCTGAAAATAATGCAGTTAAATATATTTGTTAGAAATTTAAAGACACACACATTTAGTGTATAGCACTCCTCTCATTGTCCTGGCATTTTTTGAAGGATCAAAATAGCAATTATTTTGTCAGAAGTTTTGCCTGTCAGAATTAAGACATACAAAATCTTTCAAGAAACCAAAGAATGGCTTTCCTTTGCAGGAATACATGTGTGTTTTTTCTTTGTATTTTTACTGCTTAATTAGCTTAGAAATGGATAATTTTACAGTATAGCCTGATCAAAATCTGAAATTTGTAGACTCACAGAGCTCATGGTTGTGGGCTTATAAATTTGCAGTGTACAGTCTCAACAGGGTATGCACAATAATTTCAACATTACCAATATATCACTCCAGTGTCAGAGTCGGCAAAGGTCTCTCTCCTAATTCTTCTCATTTTCTTATGAGAGACCTCTGTTAGCAAGGAACCTCAGGGGACGAATTTAAAGGTGGACTCCAACAATATTCTTGAGTGAAGTGAAGTGTATTCTTCCATATTATTTGGAAAAGGCTTCACTTTTTTTCAAATTAAAAATGGCTTTAAAAATGAAAAAATAACGCAACACAATAATTATGAAAATGATAATTGCACAGACTCGTACCCAGTTGCTATTTATGTGTTTTGGGAGTGAGAGAAGATTGGGGGTTAGGTTGAGGCGGACAAGGTCTCTTGGGAAAACCTAACCCCCAATCTTCTCTCACCCCAAAAACACATAAATAGCGACTGGGTACGAGTCTGATAATTGCAGCAACAAACTAAAAATATTAATAATACCAACACTGACCAACATGTTCAGAAGTTATAGGTACTGATGGTAGAGATTCAATAACTTCTTTAGATGCCGGTGGAGCTTGAAGTATATCAAATGCTGCTCTGTGGTTAAAACATGGAGAAAGAAAACATTCTTATTGATCCAACTGTGCTAGCCTGTTTCTGTTTGGTTTCAGAGCAAAGAAAGACCCAGACGAAAGACCGAGGAATGGGATTTTTGGTTTTGGCCGAACAAGAAATGAACTGAGAGACAAAAAATCCTCTCCCAGCTCTTTTACTTGGCCATTTTTCACACAGGCTTTGACTCTTGTTCTTTGCTCCTAAACCACACAAAAATGCTTGCTATGCATGCTACAACTGTGCAGGCTTTTAAAGATTAAATATTGATTTTTTTAAAGAGTATTAAATTTTGTAATTCCCTTTCTGTGGTAGTTTTGAATTCAACTGTTTCCAGTACAAAGCCATCATGCATGTCTATAATACAATCATGATTAGCTTCAAAGTCAACTTTCTCTCTCCCTCTATCCCTTCTAGAAATTATCAATGATAATAATAGTATTAAGTAATAATAATAATGATAATAATAATAATAATAATAATAATCTATTGATGGATCTCTTAAAGATCTTTAATTATAGTGAATTTACTTTCAAAACGAACGTAAAGTAACAGAGATGTGTAATAAGTACATCATCAAGTTTGTCATTTAAAACTTTTTTTATTTAATAAAAATATTAGTATTATCGATTGGTCAGAGATGTCATTGAAGGCCATTTTAAAACCATAACACCTGTTTTGGCTGAGCTCACTTAAAGTTAGGAGTGATCAAAGTAGAAAGCTAAAGGTGACACAATAAAATTTTTTTTAGATGTTACAGGTGAATCTTCGTTGCTATGGCTGCTTCAAAACTTACTGGCAGCCCTGTTGAGTTAATGTTGAAGTACATGAGTTATAATCCTCTATTTTGTTGTGTATTGTGTGGCTGATTGCCTTGTTGTTTTGTCTGTTTGGTTTACTTCTTATCCTTTATTTCTCTCTTTAATACAGTTTTATATAAATATTGGCCATACAGTGCGATAGTGCACCTTGATAGGTCGCAACTCCTCACCAAGATTTGCACAATGGCTGTTGGCTCAGTTTGAGCTCATCCACCATTTGACAGGTCTTGTTAATTTTCATCCCGCAGGGTGTCATGCCACTCTCCTCACCACCTAAAAACTGCTGGGGGAGCCGGTTTAGTCGCCGACTACCCAACCATATGCACGGCAGGTTGTACTGGGTTACATGGTACCAGTAGTAGCAGTAGCAGAGCAGCTCTGACCTTACCACAGCCTGTGGCTGTGGCAGACTTAGTAGTAGTAGTAGTAGTAGTTATGTAAATACTTAAAGTGTAAATAAACTGTCTGTCTTTCAGTCTGTGAAATACAGCTAATTGTAAGTCATATAGAGTGAAATTACAACTAACCTGGTAATTTCTAACATATCACTGGGCGATAAAAGCAATCTGCAACATAAAAACCGGTCTGAGTTGTAGTATACTGTAATATACAATAATTTTACATGCATTTTACATGCACAAGCACAGAGGGATAACAATTATTTTTCCTTTAACTCATACTTGTGCTAGAATTGTAATGAGTAAGCCAGCAGTAATCTAGTAAACTAGGCAAAGCCCTAATCACTGTTCGACTACTCATGCAATCACATGCTGTTAAAGTCACAACTTTTGTCAGAGTCACAATACTCATCACATTCACACCACCCATCAGAGTCACAACAATACAAGTAGTCAGAGCCACATCACTCGTTTTAGTCTCCACACCTGTCACAATCACTAAAGTCACCAGGGTCACAACACTCGTCAGTCACAACACTTATCAGAATCACACCACTCATCACAGTGACACCACTCATCAAAGTCACAAAAACAGTCATAGTCACAACACTCGTCAGTCACAATACTTATCGAAGTCACAACACTCGTCATAGTCACATCACTCGTCTTAGTCTCCACACCTGTCACAATCATAACAGTCGGCAGGGTCACAACATGCAATCGTTAGTCACAACACTTATCATTCACATCACTCATCACAGTCATACACCACTCAACAGAGTCACATCACTCTCCCCAGTCTCCACACTCGTCACAATCACGACAGTCGCTAATGTCACAACACTCGTGAGGGTACGCATAACAACACTTGTCACAGTTACACCACTCGCAGATTCACGCCTGTCAGAGTCAAATCACTTGACCCACACATCATTGCTGCCTTTTTGGTCCACAAACAATGGCATAAGTAAGTCAAGTAATAATGCATTGGGTTGTGTGGAATTCTTTATAATGAAAAAATTTCTTGAGGGAATAAAAGTCTTATCAGTCGAGAATACTTCTCTAGTTTTCATTCCCAATTATCCCTACCCGCAATCCGCAGATGTTTATAAAACTCTTATCGCCATTTAAATAGGAAAATAGGCCTGTCTGTTAGTGTCTATAATTTCATTTCTTGTACTTCGGTTAAACTTTTCTGGTAGACTCGTCAATAACCAGAAGATCGTCCTTACCTTGCAAGCTCCAGATAGAAATCTGGATTACTTGTCCGATCTGTGAGTTCGTGCTCATCAAAGTAAGATGCCATTATTTTTCACAAAATTTAAGAAATTCGTCTGACTCAGCAAGCCATGTACAATCGAAAAAATTCGATCGTACTGGTGTTAATATTCGCACTCAAAAAGGACTTTACGTTCAAACACAGGCAAAGAAGAAGCTTGTGGCTAGACAGAAACAGATCTAACATCCAGTGCAATTGAAAAGGAAAAACAGCGCACGATTCAGAAAACCAGCTTGTAATGGTGACAGTAGAGAATCAGTATGTGTACGTCATCAGTATTTTGATTCATGTAAGTTACCATATAGTCTTCCTCTTCCCAGTCTTCCAGCTCTTTACCGAAAAGATTTCCCCAAATGGCGTATTTTCACTGCGGAAAAAGGGTTAATAAAGGAAAAAAATTCAATGGTGGAGTAAGTGGTATCTCAATTAAGAAAAGTCTGCATACTTATGTGAAGACTGAATATATTCTTTAGGGGAGACTAAGCCATTCCCGAGTTCCAACAACTCTCACTTTCAAAACGATGGAAAGTGCAAAAACCTTTCTTATGAAAATGAGCTTTATTTACATGAGAACGAAAAAAATCATTTTTCATATCAATGGTTTCGCACTTCGCCACGGTTTGAAACAGAGGTTTGAGGCGACTCGGAAATGGCTAATTAACAATTATTCCATGACTGCTCGTTAGATATGAGATGGAAGATAGCCAACGAGGTGTGTAGCGCTGGGTAGGCAAGCGCGAGTGGAATAATTGTTTCATTTGAAAAAAAACGCCCACAAAGTATCGAGAGTTCTCCCCGACTTTATTTTTTAAAACAATCGATTTTCCGCTTTTTTTTTCATTTTTGAGCAGACGTGTACAGTTATCATATTTGGAGAGCATAGTATAATGGCTCATATACCATGATGGCTGAGCCAATCAGAGCTCTAGAATTGATTATCCAATGATTCAGTTTTTAATAATAGACCTTATTCACGATACCCGCCATCTTTGCACGTGCTTTGGGATAGCTGGGATAAAAGCAATGTCACATGGTATTTCAGGGGACAGATAAGTGATAAAACTTGCCATTACAAGAAATGGCCGTCGAATTTGACTATCGTCTTAAAATGAGATCACGACGTTAGTCTTGCAAAATTTACAGTTCGAGTTTCGACAAGATTTACCGCATTCACTGGTTTTTACTGTTTTAAAAAGCAAAGAAGTACGAGAGACCTGGGTCTGAGTGTACAAGAAGGTGCTATTCCACAAAATAAGTTGACATCATTGTAGCGAATTAGCAACACTCTTCAAACGGGAATTCGCCCCCATCTGTTTTATATACCACCCTACCAAGGAACGCACCAATTGCTCATTTTTAGATTCAGGAACGTTAGGTTTTTGGTAGCTGATTACAGCCGATTGTATTTTAACCCATGTGGAGTAGGGATCAAAGGGGAGAGGGCAAGGGGCAATTGGCGCATGAACACCATTATTCTGGATTCTATCAAGCAGACTAAGAAGTCGTTACATCATGTCGCCGTGGTAGCAAAATTTTGGATGGCAACAAACAGATAAAGTCACTTAAAAGTCTATTCGCAATATTTCAAACTTCTCCGGTCTTATTCAATGTCATTTAATTTGGCAAATCTTGGCGAAATTTTCCTTGGGACTGTATCTACCGTTATCTAAGTTTGAAAAAAGAAAGCAACAATTTGGGAGTTTCGTTCACCTACTTCATAAAGCAGGCTCGTGAAATTAGGAAGTTTCATGTCGTAGTGGTGCAACGACGGTAAAGAAATCGGTTCAAAATAGCGTGATGCACCTGCAAAGTTGTTGTTTGTTGATATAAACACATTATTTTTTGCCGTTCTCCTTGACGTCGCCGTCGTCATCGGTTTTGTTGTCATCCAGAAATAGTGCTACCATGGTAACGTGACGTCACACTTCTCCTCTCCATTGTATTCTGGTGGTATTTCTTGGGGGTAACTATATTGCTGTACCGTACATATTTAGGCATTGCTCACCTCGTTGTTTGTGCATGTCACATGCCACTCAGGTTTGTTAACACTATATATATATATATATATATTTTTTGCTCTTTTTTTAGCCGTTAGCTTTTTAAAATTTTGTTGTATAACACTTCTACCCCCAGTCTTCATTCAGTCGTGTGCAGGTGCGACATTCTCCTGCCTAGTGTTGTAAAAGGGAGTAGCTATAGACTGCGGGCAGTCTCTCCTTTTCTTCAGATTTAGTAAGGGGAGTGCACGCGCGAGCAAGTGTTGAGCGGCGAAGCCGCGAGACGCGAAAAACGAAGGCAGGCCTCTCCCGTCTCGCGCCTTAAGTCACGCGCGTGGTCATTTGCGTGTCACGGGCGTTTTGCTCGACGGACCAAGAAAAAAGAGAGACTGCTAGTAGTCTAGAGTAGCTAGGGAATGGTATTTTTCTAGTTTTAGAGAGATCAGTGCCCAGATAACGAACTAGGTAAAGAACGTCAACGAACACTCTCCATTTCGATTGATCGTTTATTCAGTGTTCTTGACATTATACATACTTTTTGCCTTCAATTCTACGTATAGTTATAAAATGATTACGGAAATTGTTTTTATACGTTTTCTGATCAAAAACTGCACTATCGATCTGTTATAATGCCCAATCAGATGAAAACAAGGATTATGTGTTTAATGATCAAAATAAATTTAGTTTATTGAAGGACTTGAAGCTTTTAATAATCACTGATTTCTTCAATTGGAGAAAGACAACTTCGCTGAAATTTATAGGTGCAAATAGTGCTTTGGTTTCCAAGTAAAAACACCCTTCGCGGAGACTTCGTGTGGCGAGTGTTGCAATTGTAGTTGGGAGTTCTTCGGATTCAAGCTTGGCACAAAATCGCACAACTTTTGTTCCCATTAAGACGTAGTTGTCGACAGAATGTCGACAAAATCCAATTTTTTCGACATTTTCTTAATCGTGGCACGGAACTCTCTTTTGCAGATTGAATAGATGATCGGGTTACACAAGGAGCTTAAAGGGAAGAAGATGCAAGTTGTTGCAAGAACTACCTCGGCTTGGACATCTATTCCTGGGACGAACTGACGGCAAATGCCGATAAGCCAGCCTGGGAGATATAGCACAACAAAAAAGCGGCGATGATGATGGCGACATCGGTAGCTGCCTTCCGACCTTTTAGTCGCCTAGATACGATATCTTGCTGTTGAGGACTTCCAATTAACCGCTATGCAAAAAAAAAAAAAAAAAAAAAAAAAAAAAAAAAAAAAACAAGAGAAAAAGCACCGAGGATTGGTTTTCCAGTGGGCTTCTTTCTTATTCGTGTTGGTTAAGGTTTTCCTTTTCTAAAATGAACCAGTAGAGCAACGCTTTAATCCTGGGCGGTAAACCACTTCCGTAAACATGGCTTTCAGTGATCAACATTGTTTGGAAAACAATCGCTCTAATGATATAATTCCGCTCTCTTAAACTAACGACAAAAGAGAAAAAAAATTCAAATCCTTTTTAAAATGCCGTAAAAAACAATCTATTTGGAAATGCCACAGGAAATTTAAACACGAAAAGTGAAATTTAAATTCCATTTTCTTGACTCAAATTGAAGAGGCTGGCATTAGGCGACAAGCACTGCACTTTGGCAAATGCTGCAGGATTTGCTAAAATTACGCAGTAAACCACTTCCGTAAACATGGCTTTTATCAACCTTTTTAGGAAAACAATCACTCTAATGATATGATTCCGTTCTTTTAATTAGCCGAGAAACGCAACAAGCATTTAAAAAGAAAATCTAAAACGAATAGTCTTGTTTGATAGTGAAGAAACTTCAACCAATACTTTTTTTCAGTTAAGAGTGCCGAAAAAATGAATGCCCCACGACTCCAGGAGAGTTTCTGAGTAAGCTCAGCGACCTGCTCAAAAGTAAAAGTACACAAAAACGAAAGTTCGAAAAGTGGACGATGTTTTTTTTTTTACTCCACATTGTTTCATTTTGATCAATAGCTTATAAATTATAAATTGTTTAAAACCGGAACCTTAAGCTGGGAAGCTTATGGCAGTTTAAACATCCTCAACGAAAACGAAAAAATAAATGGAAATCCATTTTCGCAATTCCTATAACACAGAAAACTGAAATTCAACGAAACATTAATCACGGGTTTTCTGATGCCATACTAAACAATAAAAGAAAATCGCAATTCAAATCCATTTCTCATCAACGTTTTTCATCAACATAACAACCTTAGAAAACTGACGACAAATGAAAAACAAAATTCAAAATTTAATCCTTTTTACAATGCCATAAAAAAGCGAAAAAAGAAAAAGGAAATTCAAATGCACTTGGAAATGCCACAGGAAAACTAAACACGAAACTGAACTTTAAATTCCATTTTCTTGTATTGAATTAAAAAGGTGAAGCACATTGACGAAAACATATTCTTTGCAGTTCAAAGGAATTTTTTGGAACGCAAATTCGAAGATCAATTCTTGGCAAATGGCGCCAGAATTGCTAAAATTACTGAAAACATGGTAAATTTTGCTTCTTGAGATCAATATAAAGAACACCACAGTGCAGACTAGTGGTGACTAGAGTTTTGTCTCATTTTGTCTGAAAATTGTTTTTCGCTAGATCAAACCGATTTGAAAAATTGATAAGATATATTTCCTAGAACACAAAAACGAAGAAGGCTTTATAGGAAATAAAAAAATTATGGGTCCTTTCCTTTCTGGGTACAATTTCCGTCCACATTACAAGCGAGAGAAAAGAAATGACGCACACTGCCAGCTGTAAAAGCTCTTAAATTTGAGGACATATCCTCACTTGTGATACTTTGCTCATACCTTTCAAGCACGTTACCAATAAGCAATTCCAGCAATGGCCTTCCCTCAAGTGATAGCAGCTTTCCACGCGGTGTACGCTGTGATCGGTCTTCCTGGTAATTTGTTGGTCATAGTGTCGATGATCTTGGAATCAAGATTTCATGTGATGCGATACATTTTACTGGCAAGTCTGGCTTTATCAGACTTTCTTCTGTTGGTCCTCGTAAACTCATTCCGCATCAAAAGCATAGCGCAAGAACATTGGTTATATGGCCAAACAATGTGCTATCTGAGCCCATTTTTTGTGAGATACTTCTATCTCAACACGGTTCTTCACTTGGTAGCAGTATCTTATGATCGATACCTAAAAATAGTCAAGTCGCCTTTGACGTATGATGGCACCATTACAAAAACCAGAGTGGCGTTTATAGCTCTCATCTGGATAATTCCGGTGATTCCAAATTCTATCGGTCTGTTCCAAGGTTGGGGAAAGTACGATTACAACCCAGAGTTGTTCATCTGCGAGCAGGGGTGGGCTCTCGATCTGCAGAGCGGCGCCATCAGTAAAAACCGCATGTCTATCTTTCGACCAATCACAACTATTATTGTGCCATTCCTGGTCATTTTGTTCCTGAAACGTGTCAGTGTACAAAACAGCGAGTCGCCACATAAACGCCATTGAAGTCCAAGTAGGTGGCCTTGTTGATGCTGAAATCAGTCAGCAGCAGGAGAGCGTTTCGAGGCGGTTAACAGATCGGAAGGCAGCTGTCGATGTTACCATTATAATCGCCGCGTTTTTGGTGTGCTTTCTTCCCTTCTGGGTTACAGTCACTTTTCGCCAGTTCGTTCAAGGAGTCGATGTTTCTCTCGAGGCAGATCTTAGCACTACGTGCATTTTATTCCTCAGTGCCATATGCAACCCGATGATCTATTCCATCCGAAAAAGAGAATTCCGTAACGCAGTGAAGAAAATGTTCCGACGGATCAGGATTTGTCAAGATCCTAACGACAACATTGTCGTTTGACTGTCGGCATAAAAGTCGTCCATGCAACATCATCCGCCACTCATGATTATTATGGACTATGCATATGCAGCTCGTACAAACTTGAAAACACTTACATAACTGCTTCACAAAGTATTTATCAGGGGCACCCAACGATGTTTTCCTCCTAAATACATTGAAAACACTTTTTAGGCTATCCAGAGTACTTTCAGTTCTCGTAGAAATGCATTGTAACTTAAGCGGCGCTATAAAATTTTTATCGGTTCGGTCATCTTAGGGGGAACTTGAGTCTTTCGAAATTACAAGGGCTTCAGTATTATTTTCTTGAAAATTTTAGCATGATGCAATTTAAACATATTAAGAAAGTGAGAATTCTTCTGATTCCTCTCTCCATCACATTTTTGAATCCGAAAATTTAGGTTTCCTATTTTTCTTCGAAAAATAGCTTAACCTCGGGAGTGAAATGTGAAAAATTAAACTTCAGAAAATGGTAGGGAATTTATAAGATGATCTTAGAACGGACTGTACATGAATGGAACGGTCATCTAGAAATTTTTAGTCGTCCTCATTTGATAGAAATTTCTAGGTAATATTTGCTTCCACGAAGAGATATTTTACAGAAAACAGTCGTTGGGTGCCCCTGATTTATGAAGGGCGTCTATCTCAGACTGAGGAAATTGGTTCCCACGTACAAATAATAACTATATAACTTGTTTCAGAGAAGAACTGTATGTAAAACCTTCAATAATGAAAATGTGGAATAGAAAAGTTTTTTATTACTTTGGTTGTATCAGATCTGTGATGTTCTAACTGGATTTTTCGGCCTTTATCCGACGACGTCGGAAAAAATAAAAAGACTGAAAATTTTAATTTGGCACCCACAAAATAACCACTGAGTTTCGTAATCGAATTACTTGAATTTTTGAAAACCTCCATATTAGGCGAAATAGTCTGGTTATAGGAAAACACGTCTTTCTAAATAAACTCAAGTTGCGCGCGTCGGATAAATTACACTACAAATCGTTTTGTAAGAATTTGTTCGTTTCTTGTAAAATATCGTATCAAACCCTAGCCATCTTGATCAAAACATAAATAAAGGTCTTCCAGCATACTCAGACGTGCTCGTCTTTGAGTGGTTAATCCATTTTTAAACCAAAATTAAACTGAGTCTTGTTATATATGTTTTGCTGACCCGTCATTTGAAGAAAAGTTTCTTGGCTTGGGATAGGACATAGGTGGATGGGGAAAAATTCAGGTTAGTGTCCCCCGTTTTTGTCTTACGTAAGAGTCCTGTTTGAAAGATTTTTCTCGCCGTTTTGGCATAATGCCTTTTAGAAGAAAAAAAAAATAATAATGACAATGATAAAGATAACGATAGCGATAACTATAATAATAACGATTATGATAATGATAATGATAAAAATAATAATGAAAATAGTAATTGCGGCGAGCTATGCTAGCAGCAGACCTGTCTCGCTCAGATAGGGCTTCAAATCTCGCCAGATGTTAGTAGGACGTTTTGCTTCGCTTTTATGCCGTTTATACGCACTGCTGACCATTACCAAGCGGGCTCAAACACGAGCCTTCGCAGCCTTTGCGAGTTCTTTGGTCTGCTTTTTCCCTTCTGGTCTGTGATTTCGCAGGCAGTCTGTGCATGTTCCCAAGTGCGAGAAAATCTTGAAGTCTTAATGCCATCATGCTCTGCGTATTTTGTAACGTTTCTCGTGTTAGCGAAAACGTTTTTATGCCGAATGACAACACTAGACCCAGCTGAACTGAATGTGACTTTAACTTTATTCGAACCTTTCAAAGTCAGCGCGCGCATGTAAGGTTCCGTCTTTAGTTTGAATTTTCTTTGAATGTTGAATTGAAAGTGAATTCTTTTTTTCTTTTTCATAATTTTTCGTGATCGAGATATAGGCGAATCTTTGCTGACGTCAAATTTTACCGTTTTGCTCATTAGCGCACGAGTTAACCCATATAGTCCAGCAGAAGGGTGAAATAATTGTGGAGTTTATGGTAAAAGCACCAAATGTGGCCAGGAGCCAATGATAGTTTATGACATAGTAAACCATACTGGATATGGACCCCATCGAGATCTATCCCATAATTTAAAAAACAGCATATTTAATTTCTTACACCAGGATTCCAGCATGGAAACGAGGCTGCCACAAATTATTCCTAATTAACGCTCTTTTTATGCATGTAAAATACTAAATAACCCTAAAACCAATGGGGAAGTGTAAACAGGATGTATCTGTCGGATTAATAACGCCACGTGACCTATCAGCATGAAAACGAGGCTTGTAAAGAATATTTGTAGTATCGCCTATTTTTACGATCGTAAGACGACACATCAAAAAAATGACGAAAGGGTAACGAAAACCACACAGATTTAAAAGGTTAAGAAGGGTCACATGATCTTTCAGCATGGAAACGAGGTTCACTCTGGAATGAACATTCCCATAATTTGAGACATGCATATTTGAGAAGTCAAGCATTAAGACAGTTATATTTTTTATGGTTAAAGATATACGTAATTCATTTCTCATTAAATATTTTATTTTGTCATTTTCACGACAAGACTATTTTCAAGTTGTTTAAGTTCTATAAGGCATCAATGAAAACGAAAGAAAGTTGTAGATGGTTATCCTGAGAAGCCTGTGTACAATTTGGCCAGGTTACATCTCCCTTGTCCCTTGCAGTTTTTCAGCTCTTTAAGTACATTTTCACAGCTCTGTAAGTTGAGGTTTCAGAGCTATAATGTTTCCTGAAATGTAATTCATATACAAGCTCAACGGAAAGTATGGAAGTAAGAAAATATCATTAGAGGAAAGCAGTGCGATTGTTAATACATCATAAACCTTCTGACCGGCTTAAGTAGTCTTTTTTTGTCTAATGCAGCCAGATATGTGTGCTGCATTTTTAGCAGAGCATTAATACAATTTTCGTCAGTACAATAAACAAATTGGAACGTGCCGGTCAAAAATTTCTCCCCGCGACTCTTATTAAAAATGCTATATACCGTTCGCTCAAAAGTTTCGGAGATATCTGGAGTAACGTTTATCCCTCTTAAGTCGGCATATTCCACCGGGATATCAACTTTAGCAAAGGGGGTTGATGTTAGCCTCTTCCAAGAATTACTGTCCATGATTACTGGCAAGAGATAGTCATAGGTTGCTGATACTGGCTAATCAGATGAAAACAAGGATTATGTGGTTAATGAGCGAAATAAATTTCGCCGTTATTGAAGCTTTCAATAATCACTGATTTCTTCAATTGGAGAAAGAGAACTTCGTTCAAATTTAGGTAACGATCTGCCTTTGGTTTCTAAGTAAATACACCCTCCATCGAGGTCTCGGGTGGCGAGTTTTACTGTAGTTGTCGAAAGTCCTTCGGATTCGAGGTTGGCACAAAATCTAACAATTTTTCCGTTGTCGTCGCCGTCAGAAAGTCGACAAACTCCAATTCGGCTCAACATTTTCCGAATCGCAGCACGAAACTCTTTTTTGCGAATAGAATAAATGATCGGATTACACAATGAGCTGAGGAAGAAAATGCAGGTTGTGGCAAGAACTACCTCATCTGGGACATTAATTTCCGGAAAAAAATGACGGCAAATGCCCATAATCCAACCTGGAAGAAAGCACAACAAAAATGCGGTGATAATGATGGCGACATCGATAGCTGCCTTCCGATCTCTTATTCTTCTAGATACGATCTCTTGCAGCTGTTGAGGGTTTTCAGCATCAACAGAGCCCCCCATTTGGACTTCAGTAACATTTACCTGTCGTCTCGCGGCCATGTATACTGATACGTTTAGGAATACAATGATTAATAACGGAATAACGAGGGTTGTGATTGGGTAAATTATCATGTTTCTTCTTGCTGAACTGCTTCGCAGAGCCCATCCCTGCTCGCAGAAGAACCCCTCTTGTCTGTAAACGTACTCTCCCCAACCAAGGAATGGACCGATGGAAAGTGGAATCGGGATTATCCAGATGAGAGACAAAAACGCCACCCTGGTTTTTGTAATGGTCCCATCGTAGGTCAATGGAGACTTGACTATCGCTAGGTATCGATCATAAGACACTGCTACCAAGTGAAGAACCGTGTTGATGTAGAAGTATCTGACAAAGAATGGGTTGAGATAGCACATTGTTTGGCCATATAACCAATGTTCTTGTGCTATACTTTTGATGCGGAATGAGTTTACAAGGACCAACAGGAGAAAGTCTGATAAAGCGAGACTTGCCAGTAAAATATATCGCATCACATGGAATCTTGATTCAAAGATGATCGTCACTATGACCAATAAATTACCAGGAAGACCGATCACATCGTACAATCCGTGGAACACTGCTATGACTTGAGGGAAGACCATGTTATTATAGTGGCTGTTTTGAACTCAAAATGTTCGATTTGGTGCGTCATACAACTTTTGGTTTAGTTTTATTTGCATCTAAAATGAATTTAAATTTAGGCTTTTGTTATATCTGATCCACATTTTAGTTTTATTTCATCCTAACACAATTCCGTCGGAAATTGATCCAAAAACACATGTTCAAAACACACGTAACTGCTTTGTTCACTAAGAAATCAAAACTCTCGCTCAATATTTTGTTCAAACGAAAAAAAATGGTATTTTGCAGTTCTTTGTAGCTCATTTCCGAACGAACTGTGCAACAGAAAGCGCCATTACTGTGTGTTATTTTGCTTGTTTTTTTGTTTTTAATTTGTACGTATCAAAACGCACCTGGCCTAGTAGTATAAATGTTTTTTTTTGTCATCTTTTTTTTTCCAAATTTTTTTGCTGATAAAAAATTGTTTGAGAAAGCTTGTCTGTTGCCTTACGTTCATCTATTTCAACTTAAGTATTAATCGCATTCCTTTTTCCAGTGAAAGGTTCGAACCCAGGAGTCACTTTATTACATCTACATTTATTAACTGATAACGCTTTCGCATCAAGTCAATATAAATTAAATAAATTACAATATTAGAAATACAATAATGGAATAAAGATGAAATAAAAATAGAAATAAAAAATAAAATTATTTCTTAATAAATATAAAATATATTTATATACAAATAAGTAAGATAAATAATAATAAAAAAAGATAAATAAATGACAGACATCAATAAATTCTAACGGCTGAGAAACAGTGATCTTTAAAAAATGAAAAATTTGTACTAATACGAATGCCGCTTGGTAGAGAGTTCCAGTCCCTTATTGTCCTTAGAAAGAAACTATAAAAGTCATAATCAATCATTGCAAATGATCTAGAAAACATTGAATCAAAAAAAAATTAGGTCTAGGCAGTAAAACGAATTATTTACTGTAAAAAAATATATTCAATCGATGGGCTTTACGTCTATCCTCTAAAAGGTCTAAATCTAATGACTGTAGCATTTCTGTAACGGAAGAAGTTCTGTTATAGTCTAGGAGACTATAGTAGACTATTAGTAGATGGAATATGATCGTGCGGGTGAGTGTAGACCTGAACAGGACTGTTGTTGACAGTGACTGACGTTCCTAAAAGGACGTGATTGGTCTATTAAGTCGAATTTTTTTTTTTACTTTAAATTTCGTTTTTATTTGGCTTGTCAAATCCTTTTGAACAATCACTGCGCTTGGTGACACTACTTGACGCATGCTTAGTGATATTACCTGTGAACTGGTGGTCATGGACAGCTGTTTCTTCCTTCTAGGCTCCTCTCAGCATAGCAAACTGCTCAGATAAAAGAGGAAAGTGGAAGTGCTCCGGTGTGCTTCCTTTATTTTTAATATTTGTTTAATTTTTCTTTTAATGACTGAAATGATTATGAGGCGGATGAAATGGGAAACAGCGATTTGTATTTGGATGAAATGTTCTCCAAAGTTTGAACGTGTCGGGTGTTGATCCTACGCATGAAACCTGATTTCCATAAACACGGCTTCTTTCAAAACTTCCTGGAAAAGAATCGATCTAATGAAGTGTGTATTCGACTAGGCTTTTATACTTCTCTCTCTAAGATGTTTTTTTTTAATTTTACAAGTGTTAAGCGCTTTGTTTACTTCTCGTTCTTTTGCTCTCTAACAGTCTCTAACTGATCTAAGCAACAGCTCATAAAATTATATAAGCTTATATAGAAGGTTGCATGGATATCAAGTCACGTGGATTGTAAAAGACCACAGCTGCCATCTTCAGCTTCGTTATATCTTTGTAGAATAAACGTAGGCCAACGCGACGGTTTTTACAAAAAAAAAAAAACAACAACAACTAACCAATCACGACAAGACAAAAACGGCTGAGGGAGACTAATCAAAACCCCACTTAAGATTTTTTTTAAAAAAAAGGCGCTACTGGATCAAATATGGCTTTATTCTAAATTAGGTTAGCAGGGTTTGCAAGGAGGATGCAGAAACATTATCAACGTTTAAAAGCTTGATAATCGTGTGAAATCCAAATTTCCATTGTTGTAAGTTTTCATCTTTTGTCATTATTTTTGTTGTTTTGAGCAAGATGTATCCAGGGAATAACCTTAACGATCTATTGTTTTCTTCAATTTATAAATGTAGCTTTTTTCTTTCATTACTATTTTTTTACGTTTGTGGAAATACCAGTGCCCAGTTGTTCGAAGGCCGATTAGCGCTTAACCCGGGGCTAAATTTAACCCGGGTTTCTTTTTCTTGTGTTCAAAAGCATTTTCTCGGATAATTTTCTCTGTTATATTTAGAGCTTTCAATCATCAACTTGTGGACAAAAAGAATTAAAACTGAAATGCTTTTTAAGCTTTCAAATCTGAATTCAAATCTCGCACTAACCGTGGGTTATCTTAACCCAGCTTTGAACAACTCGGCCCTGGAGATTAGCTATACTTACAATACTGAAATGAGCAAAGTGTATTTGACCACATTAAAAAAGGTTACTACTGCTACTACTAATAATATTTAAGAAACTCATCTTTCGCATTATCCCATTCTAAACTTATTATGGCCGTTTTATTCGCCGTTTTCCTCAACGAGCAAATGATGAAAACAAAAACAGAAACAAACAAACAAACAAAATCGGATATAAGTACATCTGAACGCCAACCCAGCGCTAACGGTTGTCAGCGTCTTACGCATGCTCAGTCATATTTTTCGGAAACAGGTGCATGTGGATTGCTGTTGTTGTCCTTGTTAGGCCTTCTCAGCATAAATCAGGCCGCTGAGCAAAAAAAAAAAAACAACAACAACAAACAAACAAACAAAACAAAACCAACAACAACAACAACAAAAAGAAACACACCAAGAATTGGTGTTCCAGTGGGCTTTTTTTTCTTCTTCTTCTCCTTCTTTAAGGTCTTCACTGAATGCCCTTTTATGCGCAACGCGCTAACCCTACAAACAAAACCACTTCCGTAAACACGGCTTCTTTCAACAGTTTAAAAAAAAAGAAAAAAAAGACAATAACTCTAACGACATCTTTCCGTTTGTTAGCCGAAAAGGGCAGCAAGCATTAAAAACAAGAACAGTCTTGTTTCGCTGAGAGAAGAAATTTCCACGAGTACTTTTTTCCAGTTAAGCAATGCGTGCCGAAATAATACAACGCGACTACTAGTCGAGAACGTTTGAGTCAGCTGTGATCTGCTCAAACTGAGAAAGTACACAAAAACAAAAGTTGGAAATCAGATGGTGTTTTTTCTATAATTTGTTTTTCCTCCACAGTGTCGTCTCTTCAATAGCGTATGAATTTTTATAAAGAACAATCTTTTCCGTTCATTTTAGGCTACTAATAAGACGTTTTGGCGGAAAGCTTTATTCTTTAGTGAGACAAAAATAGACATCTCGCCCATTTTAGCTACTCAATGTGTAATTTCCAAATATAAATAGAACGCATATGCCTGGGGTTTTTTCTTCGGACATTCATGTAACTATAATGTATATTCTCAAAAAGATTTTCCTCATCAGAATCAATAAAATGATGTCATGAAACGTAAAATCAGCTCTTTCTTCATTTTGTGATTTGTGGATTGTCGAGGATTAAAATCGAAAAAAAAATATTAATTGATGACTTAATGAAGCCAAAACACATCAAAACAGTAGCGTGGAAGCGAACTGATCGCTGCGTTTTCGATGAAACGAAAGTAGGTCCATTGCAGCTCGGAGTCACATGACCAATCTCACGCAAAAAGTAGAGCGTAGGACAAATAGTGTGTCTGCTAATTTTTAAATTTTAAACACCAAATAGTGTCATCAGTGGCTAGAAATAACGAAGAAAAAACCATAAATTGAATTTTGTAAGACGCAGAGCTTCTTATCATTCTTCATGCTGCCTATCGAATAGAGTTCACAATTTTCATCAATGATCAATCCTTTCTTGAAGGGCTGCAAGCGTGGATTGAGTATTAAGCTTTCATATGAAATGTCGTTATACCTTACAGGGTATAAATATTGATTTTCAAACTTACGAAGTTGACAGCATAGTATTGTCTTAGCGTGATTTGGAATGCCTCGTGGTTATTCGAAAAATATTCTTGCATGCAAGTTTTTACTTTCCGAGTGAAACGATGAAAGAAGCGCGTGACAAAAACTATGGAAACACTTAATTAACTTTCACGAAAACCCGTTTTTAATTCGTTTTTCGTTTTTTGTCTTTACCTTTACGGTATCAGTAAATAGCATTTAATTTTTCGTTTACTTTTTTCTGTGGGAATATACATCTTCGAGAGGTGGTTGAGAAGGCTCTTATCCGAGAGAACTTCATAATAATTAAAACGGAATAACTTCGAACAAGCTTTACTGGTGCTTTACGTAATGGATCGAATTCATTTCAATACATTTAGAGGATTAGGCTTATAATCAGGTGTATTTTTTTGCTTAAAGGTAGAGCCTATAGCTACAACTGGGAGGCAGGGCTTATTGGGCAGGAGCAGATTACAGTATTTTTTATAAGTACAACGAAAAAGAAAAATAGATTACGTCCGTTTTCCTATAACATTTAAAAACGAAATTCAAATCTGTTTTCTTATAACAGAGGTAGCCGAGCGAAACATTAATCCCGTTTTCTGATGCCATACGAAAATAATAAAACGAAAATCCAAATCCAAATCCGTTTTTTAACAAGAACGTATCAACATAGAAAAACTAAAAAAGAAAATCAAACCCCCTTTTTACAATAGCGTAGAAAAACAAAATAAAATTCCGTTTTCCAATGCCATACAATAAACGAAAAACGAAAAGGGAAATTCAAATCCATTTTGAAGTACCACGGGAAACCTAAACACGAAAATGAAACTTGAATACCATTTTCTCTAATTTGTGCCATTGAAAATCCGGCAGGGGTTTGCAAAACGCACCGAAAGGCCTCCGAACGCAGTATTAATTGCTCTAAAGTTTAGTGATTAGTGTTAGGAAGCTGA